AAGCATACATTCACAATTGCAAAAAGTATTTTTACTTCTTTTGAATTCCTTCCATAATTACCCGTTAGTTTTGTTTTGTTTTAAACATGAACCAATGTTACACACCTACTTTAATTACATATAACTTGAAATTGAACAGAGCTTTGCTTTTTAGATGGGTTCCGGGGTCTTTGAAAAAAAACAAGTGTCCTTTCCACTGCCTTTCCCCTCTTGCGAGCCCAGTGCGCTGCGCTTTGTCTCTATTACTTATATGACAGTTCATGTTCATTATTTCTCTTGAAAATACATGTATTTTGATGTTGGTCTCAATGAAATTGTAGAGACCTTGAACAACACCGAGTCCATTTCTCACTTCTGTAGAGACCTTGAACAACACCAAGTCCATATTCTTGTTGCTTTTTTGTGTTTTTTGCCCAACAGATTTTTACCATATTCCATTACTACTGAAAGCGCTCACGATTATGACCACTTGATCTTTTCATCTCAGAGATTTTGAAATATGTTCAAAATGTAGTTTTTCTTATACTTTTTGGTTTTTTGGAGAAGGCGCCTGCACGAATTTTGCCCGAAAAGATTAGCTTTCCGAATCTTGGGGGCTGAAGCCCTCCCCCCAGCTCCCCCGTCCCGTACGCCTATGGTTATGAGAAGAAATGTATCGTTAGTGTTTATCAAGCATCTTCAGCAGCCCAAGTAAATGCCAAAATAGTGGAAGAAATTACATTCTGAAACATGCATACAGAAATTTTCAGGAAAAATTTTGAATTGGTTTTTGAAGGATCTGAAGAGGCACCCAAGGTTGTCTGACCAGTGCTAATTCTGTAATCTCATGAACTTCATAAAGGTTGAAATATCAAAGTGTGTAACAAGTCCTCCACTTTTTGCATTTTAGTTCAAAGCAAAATAGGTAATAATGAAGCTAGAAGTGCTGGAAAATTTGTACGTTTCAAGGTTTTACTTTGCAGAAGGTACGAGGAATTAGGATGGAACGAGATGCAGGGCCTCAGAAAGTGACTCCATAATTAAACAATGAAGAAAATATTAGGTTGCAGAGTCAAATTAGTGTTTGCAATGGTAAGAAATTCTTATTCTCAAAAAATTCTACATGATTGCGAAAGTTTGTCAAATAATTTATCAATGTGGCATTTCCTAGTGAGATGCTTATCTAGAAGTACTTCTAAAAATTTGAAGCAATGGAGCATTGGATCACTTGCCATGTTCAAGTCTAATATTATCAGGAAATAAAAAAGAACAACGCTAATTGTTTAAAGATCGATTGCCAAATTCTTGTAATCCAAACATGCTATTGTCTTGTTATGGCAAGCTCAGTTTCAAAGTAGATATTTTTATCACAAGATTATGAAAGAATGACAGTACTTTGTACGAACGAAGATAGAAGCCTATTATAAAGATGACAAAAGCAGGAGACCAAGAAGGGAACCCTGTGAAACACTACAAGTTAAATTGCAGAGATTGGAAGAGTGTTTTTTAGGCAGTTTCATTTCACTTTGAAAAATGAGAGCTGATAAATTTAGGTGCAACCCGGTTCTCAAACATAAACTGAGAACTGATAAAAGAACCCGACCGACCTCAGTTTACCACTAAGCTTGACTAATGCGTTGAGATCATTTTTGACTTCAACGCTGCTTTTCTGAAGCAGTTTTTTTTCTGTAAATAAAAGGAAATAAAATCAAGCAAGTTAATTTCCATGGATTTCGTAATTTGTTTACAGAATAAAGGGCCGTGGAAACATAAGAATCAAGCAGCTTTAGCCACCCAACAAGCTTGCTTTTTGGAACAAGGACTATACTTTTGTCAATTAATTGAATTGTATTTGATGAGTACAGAGGACTTTAGGAGATGAAGACAGGTTCTTGATTAAGGTAGGAAAAGTAAGCTTAAGTTGATTTGGAGTAAAGGGATCTTCTCTATGATTTCAATACCAAACTTTTTTTAAGATTTCGTTAAATTCGTTTGCCATCTTCTTAGCATCCTCATTTATCAGACAGGAAAAGTATCGCATGACTGGGTTTCAGCTTTTTTGCTTTTCCCTGGCATATTGACGTTGTTTTTCTGTTCATCAAAGTGCAAATGATAGTATCAATTTTGTCTTCTTTTACTTCAAAAGAACAGTTGTTTAATCGATTTTTCAATTGCTGGAACAGTAAATTTTTGATTTTCATCTTTTTCCCTAACCCTGTCAGTAATTAAAGATTCAATTTTTCTTGTCCTAACTCTCTCTTTGAACGATATTAGTTAATGAGAGTGAGATTCAAACCAGCGCTATTATCATCAAGGAAGAAATTTTTAATTTCTGAACTTCGTTGTAGCAAACTTGATGTGATCATTTGCAAAATGTAACATATCAATTTTATTAGCTGGACTTACCAGAGATCAGAGATGGAATCTTTCCACTAAAAATATCATTCAACAGTACAATTGCTTTAAAATGTTTAAATGAAAATGAAAGTAGTGTAAAGGGCAAAGTAATGCATTTATTATTTCGCCTAGCTGCATAAATGTTTCATCTAAGTCATAGCCACATAAATTTCATCATGTTATTATAAACGTTCATCTATGCCATAGCCAGAGAGATGTCATTAGAAAATTTCATGTATGTCATCATGTCATCGGAAAATTTCATTCACATCCTAGCTAGATAGGAGTAATCATGTCAACAGAAAAATTCATCTATGTCATGTCACCATGCCATCCGAAAATTTCTTTTATGTCAAAACCAGATAAAAGTCGTAATGTCATCTAAAGATTTTATCCATGTCATAGTTAGAATGATGTTACCATTATCATCACACACCGATTTCACATTGTTGTGAATAAACACTTACATTAGCTAATTTGACATTATTTGAGTGAAACCTATTGTACATTTATTAGGTCGATAAGAGCTTAAGATTCATTCAAACATTTCATTACGTTAAGTGAGCTAGTTAACTATACATCCTCAACACAATTACTAAAAAACAAGTGTCACTGCACCAGCCAGTTTTGCTTAGAGTCAAACAAATTTCACTTTAGTTTGCTAATATTTCTGGCTCATGCATTTTCAGAATGCATCTCGAAATTCTTCTGCCTTCTTATGCCTTTAAGTGTTTAGGGCTTAACTGATAATTAAGATGAATTATAAGTCTCTAAATCTTATGTTAAGAAGATAATTTTCGGTTTTGTAAGAGCTCAGAATCATTTGTACAAATAAAAGTCTTCTTGCAATTGAAATTTTGAAACTGTTCTGAATTCTTTAGGAGAGATAGGCTAGGGCATATATTCTGCAAAAACAGTTAGGATGTGTTTTTAGTTAGAAACGAACTAGGTCAAATTATTAAACAAAGTTCTCAATTCAGTTGTTTTCTTCCAGTTGGGTCACAGCTGCTATTAGGATCGGCTGGTCGTTATTATTTTCGTTGGTATGAGAGGAAAGGAAGAATTTTCCAAAAGGTACTCGAGTAACTTCTTTATAAATGTCTTTAGAAATGGCTTCTCTTCTTTGCATGGTTTATAGAATTGCAGAATTATTCCAACACTCTTGTCTGATGACAATCTTCTATCAGGTCATTGACTGCGAAATGAACAAACGGTACAGAGTTTTTCTTTCAAAACTGCAATGAAAGGAATGGTATAGTGACCTAATTATCGAAACAGTAACGTGGAAATAGCGCTTCAGTTTTTGGAATCTCCAAGTTTAATGGAATATTACACAAACAACGTTATCAACAAAAGAATTTTGTAGCCTGTAGATCAAGATTCATTGGAAATGTCTTTGATAAAAGAATTTTTTGACAAATTTTCGCTACAAAACAAATATGATTTTTGCGTTCGTTTGGGGACAATCAACGAATTTTCTTCACCGAAGGAAATTTTCTCAAAATAATCTCATCCTCTTTACGGATGGTAAGAGAATCGGATACTTGGATATATTTTTTCTTGATAATATTATAGCCCACAAGAAAAAGCAAAATCTAAACACTTAGACTTTTCCCAACTCTTTTGACTCATAGTAACTGGTAGCCTGTGAGAAATACTTTGTCAACGTTGTTTTGGATGCAAAAGACGAAATTTTCCATCTTTTTCAATATTTCTTTTCTGTAGCTATTATAGTAACGCGAAGTAGGTCGAGTATCAGCATTCATGTTTTAAGTAGAGTGGGGGCATGATCGTTTATAGGCCGTTTTCAATAGTTCAAGCAGTCATGATCAATTGGATTGAAAGACTTCCAAAATTGCTCATTTCCACAGCTTAGATTGATAGATTATGAATACCTGGGAGCATTTACCTGATCTACGTGAAGAGGAAGACTTGATTTCAACTTCCTGTAAAGGCATTCTTCGACATTTATCAGTTTAGACATTCAAATTTGAATAAAGCTAATTTCAATTCACTGCTTATTTTGGAATATGTTCGGTTAATGCAGTAGCACAGTTTCACGTCAAATTTGTTTCCTTGAAAAACATGGCCATTTCTTTCATTAGCTATTGTCGATTAGAAAAGTAAGCTTTCTTGGTGGAATAGATGTTTTGCAATTACAAAAACATTTAAAAATTTGACATTCTAAGTTGATTAAAGATTGTGGACATCTGAAAATAAATTAAATAGAGCTTGTTACAAAATGGAAACACAGTGTCGTGCCTGCTCTAATAACTTATATAGAGTATAGTGCATTCTTTCAAAATATTCTGCATATTTTGTGAGATAATATTGGATAACATTGTGCATCCCTCCTAATAGTTTTCCTCTTGCTACAGCCCTGGTTGGTAAGGGGACAAAGTCGGGAAAATGTTCTCCCGACCATAGGAATTTCTCTTTGCCTGCTTCATTTTAATTTTCCCTCAAATTACTCGATGTACTCGATGTTTCTATACATAGGTGTTGCTTATGGCCTCTGTATCGAGCCTTTGACCTCCTTCTTCATCTTCATTGTAGTGGGAATTCATAAAGAGGCTTGTATCCATGAGCATCAATGTTTACAATGCAGCCATCACGTGATACTTCTGCATGTGAAAGGAGTTGACAGGTTTTAGATTCGTAAAGAATTTCTCCTGAACAGGACTTCGCAGCTAGGGTGCATACCAGCTTTGAGTAAGCAAGCCAGCTGCATTTGCTGCAGTATATAATATGCACTGTTCGGGTTGCTGATCCTGCAAATTAAGTTTCCAAACATTCTGGTAACTCCTTGCAACATTGAATCATAATGGTGTTCTTTTTTACGGTGTCTAGAAAAGAGGATGTTGCGAATTACTACACAGTTGGCAAGGAGGTTGGACGGTGAGGAAATTTTTCAGTAATATTTCGACTTTGTCGTTACTTAAATGGTATTAACGTAGCAGTATTTAATTTGTTTTGCATGGAATAATGCAAGCCATTTGTGCGACCTGTCGATGCTTTGTTTTTTATCAAGGCTGTTTGAATTGCTAATATTATCGATAGCCCTTGGCCTATTTTGTAAAGGTATTGAGCCCTGGACATGTTTGCTAGAAAACCACGCGGAGAAAGATGAGAAGATCCAAAAATTGTATTTCATCCAAACGCATCTCCTATTTCATCCTTTAGAATTTCGGCTTTATTTCTGATTTTGCTGAATTTATAAATCTTTGTGAAATCTCATGCTGAGGTATTCCACTTTGAACTATTTTTGGCAGCCCAATGAAGGATTTTCCGAAGTCAAATTAGCACCAAATCATTGACGTCAAGAAATTCCTCTGCCTTTGTTTAATTTAACGTCCGCCAGGTACAAAGTCTAGCTTAATAGAACTCCAGCTAAAGCTCTTTCTCCTATGTATAATATGAGAAGGATTTCATGTAGTTGTTTTAATTCAAAACGTCAAGTTATTATGATTTTGACAATTAAAATGATAACTTTTATCATCCGCGGTTTGTAGCAGCATATGATGAACTAAAAACTTATCTTTCAGTTGATCTTGATTTGTTCAGGGACAATTAAGAAATTTGTGTGTATTCTTATGCAACATAATTTTTCTAATTATGAACATTTTTTATGCCATAGAGGAGCAACTTCAGTTGTTAAGGAGGTTATGCAAAAGGGCACAAAGCAAAGGTTTGCAATGAAAGTTATTGAGAAGAATGTGAGTCATTTATAAATTCTAGTTAGAGGTTATATTTACCATGACTTTTGCACCTGACTCAGAAAGCAGCAACTTCAATGTAAAAAAGTTTTCAGCTTTGTTTATTGTAGGCACCTGTTTCAATAGGTCTCTTAAAACTGTAGAATTGTATTTTGATCATAAGCATCGTATTTCAGTAATGCCAGTGCCTGCAGAACAAAATGTTATACCTATTGCTAAAGCCAAACAGTATAAGTTAAAAACCATGCTTATGAATTATATATTTGCAATATAATTCTTTTTGCAGGGAACTCATGGTATTTTATAATTACTTTATTCACTCATTTTAAGTGGCCCTGCTGATTACTATCATGATTATGTTTTTGTTACTTTAAAGCAAGTATGCATATAAATATATTTGTCTTCTGCCAGTATGTTAAAATATAGTTCAATTTTGTATTGTCACTTTGTTTTATGGTCTGTGTGTGGTTCATCCTTATTGTTTACCTCTGTAGACTGGTAAATTTGAGAAAGGTCTGGCTCTAAAATAATAAATAAGGCCCAGAATATTTCCTTGGGACTGTTGCTTGCTTTTCAAAATGTCAGTAGTTCTTTAACAAAAGATCTAGCAGGCAAGGTTAAAACTGCAGACCAGACCCCTTTATCAATCTACTCTATAGCTTTGGAGCACACTATACATTATAAAATTTTTTAGGAACTGTCATCTGAGAGTATGTCTGTAAAAATAATTAAAGAAAGTAATTAATAACATATGATGGATGTTGAAAATTGATTTTGATCTAGACAACCAAGCTCTTAACATGTTCTTGTTGTAGAATTTCCTTGCAAACATACAAACAAATGCAAATATTTAAAGGCATGTCTCGATCAACATGTAGGTACATGGAACATTTGTTTTATGGGAGTAGTAGGAATAGTTTGAAATAGTTGAAATCTATTGTTGAAATGTAGAACAAGCAGTGAAGGTTGTGAAAAGTTATAAAATGCAGTATCAACTGTAAAGTATAGGACATATTAACAACCCATACTTCAGTGCAAGGAGTACTTGTAACCAAACAGAAATGACTTGAAGGCATAGCAGACAAACACGTTTCCTTTCATGTTGAAAAGTTTGTATAACACTGTTGATAGTATGTGGCCTTACTGTATAAAATATCAGGTGGTTGTAAAGGGCACAACAAGAATCTTTCTTATATGGATTTTAAGGATTTTCTACCATAGAATTCAATTTTGGTCTTTTGAGAAAATTTATGCTGAATAATTATTTTGAGAAAATTTATGCTGAATGATTCAACAACATTAAGAGCAGGGCTTCTTCCATTTTGTCTTTGCTTCCAGTTATAAACAGCTGAAAATACAGATATAAATAACTCACAGAGACTTGGGTGGCCTGTAAGAAAGGCTTCTTCTTGTATGCAATAGTGATACTTTTATTTCTTAATGCTATTTTCATTGAATTTGATTTCCTCAGTTGTGGAAGTCTACATTTATCCTAAACTTGACAAAATTACTTATTCTAAAAATTGGATTTGAGGTTTTTGTGTTCAAGGTGTTGATGGTTATTTGGATTATGAGTAATACCCCAAACAAGATTTGACTGAGATATAAGATAATTTCTGTTGTTTTCATGTAAAGCGCCCCAGATTGTAGTAAAAGGCTGCTCTGGTGATTGAAAGATATAATTAGCATTCTTTGATGATTTCAGTTAACAAAATGCAAGTCAATATCACTTGGCTTTTGGAATGTTTGTGGCATTAGATATATTTAACTCTATATATTTATTAGCCTGGTCTTCTTACAGCAAAAGCAAACTCTTTGACATTGCTTGTTATCAGTTTGAATGGCATGATTGTTCTGTTGATTGTTCATGAGCTTTTGTTGTGTTGGAGGTTATCCTGGGATACAAAGTCACAGTAATGAGGTTCATGGTATAACCTTATCCAAGGTAGTACTTTCAGTGGTGCTTTTGTGACATTTAAGTCAAAGCTTGTTCTTGAGGTCACGAAAGATCACAAAAGTAATCTATATATTGTAAATGCAGGTCAAACTCAGTGAGCATAAACTTGTAAGCCACAAGAGGGAGTGGCTACCTAGGTACCATTTTGTTTTCCTTTCAAATGAAATTTTGTAACAGTGTGCTCCAAAATTGTTTATCATGGCTTTTGGGTTCTTTAGGTATTTAGCTTGTAAACTTTCATGCATAAACTGCGTTTGGATATAAGTTTACAGCTACTATGTCTAGCCAATGTGTTGAAACCAAAATCAATTTCCCTTATTATGCAGTTACCAGAGTACGGGATTCTGCAGCTATTCAAATCTGCAGCATTGACAAGCTTTTGCAACTTGGGTGTTGAATCTTTTTTATAAACTCTTCCAAATCGACAACTTAGCTTATTAGCAGGCCTAAGTGTGTGCATAAAAAAAATTTTCTTGGTATATGTTTTTCCGCTCCTTTTTCGAAAGTGTTGGTGTTATGGCGATAACAAAGAATTAAACCTCAAAAGCTCGCCCTGCTTTTGGGAAATGTAACCCATTCCTTTACCATTCATCTTCATATTGACTAGATTCTGCAGCAATACTCGTGTAAATTGGTGTAACGGATGCTAAACGCGTGATATGGATCTTGCCTGAATATCATTGCTTTATTAAAGCAAAACTGCCTGAATGGAACCTGAAAGGAAATAAATTTTTTCGATATGGGGGCCTGCAGCCACCCCAGCCCCTATGTCTCATGTGCCTATGCTTGGGTACCAATTTCAGTTAATGATACAGTCTTTAGAGCAGCCATTCTTAGACTCCGGCCCGCGGGCCAACTCCTGGCCTGCAGCAAGTTTTTATCCGGCCCGCCGAGCGCTCTATCTTCAAAAATATATTTTTGGCTTACACTTTGAAAATTTTGAATTCGATTTAGTTTTGTTTTTGGACTGCTCTGATATTTTCTTTTTCTCTGCAGTAGATGATAATGTGCGTCCCGTTGACCAGGTTTTATAGCAAAATGTTTTTCTGCTTTCATTGAATTACATAGGTCGTTGATAAACTCACCATGACCTCACCCAACACCTTCCTCAACTTTCTGAGATCCCAGGCCCAAGGCCATCTTTAGTTCATGAAGTTCATACTTATTAGCGTATGTGTATGAGGCAGCGTGTGTGAACTAGGGTACTGGCTAATGCATTATTGCCAAACTGTGTTTATTTGTTTTTTCTCTCAATCTTATTTTGGTTTTCTCCCGTCAAATTCTATTTTAGATGCAGTTTCTGGCCATCCCTAGATTCTTACAATCTGAAGCTTTTCTTGCCGCCAACCATGGTGGCGGCCTTTTTTGATACAAACCCAATCATTAAATTTTGGCCCCACTTTGAAATATGCTTCGCCGTCCCTGGATCGAACTTCAAGTGAATTAAGTCGACCTAACGAATATTAATGGCGCAACCTAAAAAAGGACAACTGTCTTCTTATTCAACCCGGTCAAAGAAACGCATGCTGCAAACTTCTGTGTGAATCATTTTGTTGGCTTTATATACACTGTTACAGCTTGAAGCTTTAAGTCCCCCTCCCCCAAAAAGTTATCCCTGGCCTTGGGCGTGTAAATCCGTCGGGCATTGCACATCGAGCCAACCCCTCTAACATCAAGCCAGCGTCATGTTCCTAAATGTTATCATCGTCCTCTCTTTTTTCTCTCCTCTCATCCACCGTTCCAAAACTTATCTGATGAAAATAAATGCACTACATAGATTTGATGCATATAGAATCTAGCAAGAAATAATAGGCCTGCCTATCTTATCTCTAAATTAGCCTGGTAAGTATGAGATCCGAACTTCATTTTGTGCAATGTAAAAGTCGAAAACTCCCGGAGAAAATCCACATGTTTTTTGGCCCGGCACTCAAAACAATTACGAACCCCTGCTACAGAGGTTTGTCTACGGAATTAACGTTATTTTTTCAGATACTGCATGCGCAAAAAACGTCTTCAAATTTTATACTTGCCTTTCGATTAAAGTAATGTCTCATAAACTACGTAGAGGATTGGTTTATGACATCATTTTACACTGGAATAAATATCTGGTTTGATCCCTTTTAGCTTTTGAATAACTGATGGATTTTCAAAGGTGTGTTTCTGCTTCAGTTGGCTAGTTTGCTGGGCTTTGGAAAAACGAGCTTCTAAATCAGCAAAATCAGCGAGCTTCTAAATTCAGCTAGCCGCTTAGAAATGATAAAGTGACAATTAGTTATTATAAAGCACAACTCCAAAAAGGTTTTATATTTAGGGTGGGTAGCCAAATATTGAAAAGCTTCGCAAGCACGCGTGCCAGTGATCACACGTGAATTAATCCAAAGGCTGCATTCTTATTGGATTCCAAGCAGAAGCTACTTAAAAGTCGTCCTTTGCTCGTCTGCATTATTGTTATTCTCTGATTCCACTGTCGTCCTTTTGTTTTTTGTCACCTGCTAAACATTATACAGAAATCTTCCACAAAAAGTAATTACTTGTAGGTCATTGTTTGCCATTTTTGGTCTCCTAAAGACTTTGTTTATTCAGAGTTTAGCTGTTGGTAAATTACCAAACACAGTCCTAAACCGCTGATTAAGAAATGACAAACAAGGTTATTAGTCTAATGGCCGTCTCTCTTACTCAAAATCACATAGAGATGGGGTTCGAATTGCATTTTATTTGCTATACACTGTTTATGTTTTAAAATATTTATATGTCATAACACATGTTGATCTTCAAATCGATTCTGCTGAAAAAGCAGGAATGTAAGCCCTTTGAAAATATGACACAACTGTATACATTCAGCTTTTTTTTAAGTAACAAGGACGACGTTAAGTACTCCATTGACTATGACGTTTGATCGAAATGGCATTTTTTGTTTTATTATGTTTTTCATCTTGGTTTTTGCCAGGAAATTATTACTTTTAACGCCGGATTGAACTCAAGGCTTTATTGACCAAGCTTTCTTTGAAAATGACTTTTTAAAAGGCAGGGCCAAATCAAAGCTGCATTTCTGTCATAGTTTATTATCCTTCAAAACATGTTAAACTAAAGGAATCTAGAATTGGCTATTGTTTAGATAATTTATGCTGCGTCACAAACAACTCTTCGGCAATTCTTCTCAATAAACCAAGTTTCCGATCAACATCAATTGGTTCCTTTTCTGTGTAATGCCGTTGTTTTCGTTTTTCTGAAAGATGAATAGGTTTACAGATATTATGTCTATTCTGAAGGAGACTGGTGTTTTGAAATGACACCCCTTGTTACCAGTAAACGGACAACTGACATGGGTTAAGAATTAAGTTTGTGCTGAAGTCTTCTTCTTTATTACTTATGGTGCATGGAACAAAAGTAGGACCCTTTCTTCACTAAATTCTTAGCCAGTTCATAAAGGTATTGACTGATGGCTAGTGGCGTAACAGAAGCATTTCGGCCCTAAGGAGAAACACTAAGACGGACTGCAAGAAAATCCTACCCAACGCTGTAGAGCACGTCAAAGACAATAGCAAAATGTAGTTATAAGAGCTTTTTCTTGTTTACTAGGGAGAGTTTAAGTTATAGAAATGTCAGTTGAAAAAATTTGAATTTTTTTGAAAATGAGGTAAACTGGAGTGAAGATTAATTGAACTCCCATTTTGGAAAAAATTGGGAAAAAAATTGGAGTCCCATTTTGGTCGTTGGAAAAGGTGCCCTAAACTGCGTCACGCCACAGCTGATGGCCCGTTAAAACTTTTACTTTGTTTTTGGGCACTTAAGGCTATACTCTTAAAGAGATCTATTAGATTGTTTCGCCTAAAACCTTGTAAAGCAAACGTAAAATATCTCAATTTTGTACCATATTTAATTTTACTGTTAAGTTAGCATTTTCCTAAATCATGTCACCCTTTTTTCTTCCTAAGATTTCTTATGTTTTATGTACCTGTTCTCATTTTATGTAGTTACTTGATGTACAAATGATAATTGCTCAAAAGTCTAATCATACCAACTTTTTAATTTGCAGGATCATGACATATAGACATATCTAACCACATAGTTATGAATTGCAATATTTTTCTGCAATATTGCTGACGCTCGTACCTACACAAAAATGACGTCATAGGCCACATTTTCTGTTTAAAAGGATCTAGCGCCGGTTCATAACTCATCAAATTTTGATATTTTGCGTATCATTCCAAATTACTCAAAACCATTATTACACGGATCGAGATCATTTGAGTATCAGAGTCATATAATTTGTAATTTGGCCCTATTTTCAAAATCTTTACTTTTTGACAAAATTTTAATATGAAAATATTTTATATGTGTGCTACTATAGGATTACTAAATAGATTAATAAACATAGCAGACCATAATAGAGCTTTTTACTCGGTACTACGTGGAGGCTCATTATATAATTTCTAACTTTATAGCTTCGTATCTAAGTTATTGAAATTGAGTAGCCATGTAAAGTCAAGAAATGCCAAATTCTGAAGAAGGCCATTGTAAAAATGAGAAGTGTATTTCAATGAACAATTTAATAGCTTGCTAAAGATAAATCTAATTTTTTAACATGTGTACAGTCCTTCTTTTGGCATATGTCCGCAGTCCATGACATGATGTTTTCATGTATGGGGCCTTTTTTCTTGATTGTGATGTCAAACTACCAATGTACAATATTCCTTTGAAAAGCTCTTCGGATTCGACCTGATATACTTAGATAGCATGTTAATTTTTTATTTTATTTTGCAGGTAGATAAGAAAATCATTAGAACAGAGATTGGAATTCTGCTTCGATTAAACCATCCTAATGTGGTGAGAAGTTTTAAAACAATTTGTTACTAAATGATCTTTTTATCTTATGTTGAGCCTCTCTTACGGACACTTCTATACAACGGGAACCTCTCATTTTGGTTCCAAATTGTTAAAACGCCCTTAAAGACTCATTGCTAACAATGAGCCATTGCGCTACGCAAGCATCCCATAATGCATTTTTAGACAGCCTGAAATCAATTTTGGTTAATCCGTTGAAGTTTACTGCCATTATTTGGATCGTCGCCACGCTCGCAAAGGCCCATTGTTAGCAATGAGTCTTCAAAAAACCTCTATACAACGGACACCTCTATACAACTGACACTTCTCAACAAAGGACAGACATTTGGGTTCCAAATGGTTAAAACGGTTTTAAAAAACCTCTATACAACGGACACCTCTCAACAACGGACAGATATTTTGATACAAACTGGTTAAAACACTCTTAAAAAATCTCTATACAACGGACACTTCTCAACAACGGACAGATATTCAGGTTCCAAATTGTAAAAACGCTCTTAAAGAAACCTCTATACAACGGACACCTCTATGCAACTCCACTGTATTGGTTTTAAATATGAAGTTAACATGCTATGTTGATTCATATCTTTTCCATATCATGCAAAGACTACTGCTGAAAAGCCAGTAGACATTTTCTAAATAGTGGAAACTCCAGGGACAAAAATGCTAAAGAGGCGAATGAATGCAACAATATGTTGAAACCAAACAACTATATATGCCTAAAAGTTGAAGTAACGGTCTTTGCTGTAATTTAATGGAATGATTAGCACATTGTTTGAGACGCAATTCCCGCAACTACCCCCTTAGTTTCTGCAGCTATCTAAATAAATTTCTTCAGGTCTCCCTATATTTTTACCAGATATTTATCAAGCAGACCTGTAAAATCTATTAAATTTTGTAGAAAAAATACTCTGTTAAAAAACCATTTGTATTTCTAAACTTGTTGATCTTCTATTGATTTTTGTTTCTCTAGTTTTTTGCCTCATCATCTGAAACACCCAATTAACGAAAACTTGTTTTTATTTTATTTTACGAAGGTCTCTAAAAATCAATAATTTGTAATAGTATGGGAATAATCTAGGTTGATTGTTTTTTACCTGACTTCATATTAAATTATTTAGGCAAGAATGCTTATCCAATATATCATTTTGCTGCAATTTTAAAATGAGGGTACAATATTGCCACATGCTGGCTTGATTAAGAAATGCAATTATTATTTTTTTAACGATCTTTTGCAACTGTTAACTTCATCAATATTTTGTCACGTTATTGCCTTTATAATGACATTCATTACTTCTTTGTTTTGTTTTTATAAGATTAAACTCAAAGAGATTTTTGAGTCAGAAAAACAGCTATTTCTGATCCTGGAGCTTGTTACTGGTGGCGAATTATTTGACAGGTTAGAATTTACTTTAATTCTGAATCGTGACATAACAATCTTGTTTTTGTTATTCACAATTCTTTATTAGCAATTATTTAGTGCTAAAGTTCTTTATTGATTGGCAAGGCTGTTGATATATTCAGTGTTTTAACTACAGCTATTCAAACAGGTAACGATTATGACCGTGAGTTCATCAAAATTTTGATCTTTCCTGCAACCCCTTCCAACATTCTACTCTTTTAAAATCATCATCGGTTTTTGTATGCATCTGCTGTTCCGCCCATTCAGAACTTTGTACTTCATAAAATTATTCATAAAGTCTTCGGATGATAGAGAATGGCTCCTACGCTCATCAGAAACTGACCTGAGGATACCGTTTCTAGAAAAGATAAATAACCAAAAAGACCTTTGTTATCGTAATGCAAATCTCTGGAATAGTCTCGAAAGAGAAACCAAATCGACCCCCTCACTGAAAATTTTTAAAAAACAACTTTAGGCGAGAATGTAGCTTTAATTCAAATTTTTCTCACCTTTTATTATTTAATTTTATACCATACCATGTTGTAAAGTAAGAATTTTACTCTATATTTTTTTTAATTCAATGCTTTCGTTTGATTGTTTTTTAGCAGGTCGGTTTGAAATATACTTTTATATACTAAACTCAGTTATCATATACACAGCCTGTAAAAAATTGTAAAATGTGATAAAAGTGAAATGTTAACTTCCTTATATATTACTTAATGTATGTGCTAATTATTAGAGAGGTTCTTAAGCTTCCCAATAGATAAATAACACCGTTAGTGCCTCGCCTATTAAACCCTTTCTTCAGAGCTGATTAGACATTTTACCACTTCTTTTCCTAACTCTCATTTTAATGTGAGATTACTGTTGAATTTTTCCCTAAAATTGGGTTTACATTCTTTTTTATTTATTCTTGTTTCGGGCTCTGTTTGGGGGATAAGTTTAAGAATGGACGTCTCTTTCTTGATCTTTTGCTTGTTAATGATTGGTGACTACAAGAGCAAGTTGTTTGTTTTCGCTGCATTTGTTGCTCGTCGCAGTACTTACTCACATTGTTACGCCTAGCAAATATTTGCTGTATAGATTGATATACAAACACTGCTATCTCAGAAACGTTATCAAGCTTGTTTAGATCATTTTGTACAGAGATTAAACCAGCGTAATATTATTGTATATTTTAATTGCCAGAATTGTTGAAAGGCAATATTACAATGAAAAGGACGCAGCAGACGCCGTTCGACAGATTTGCGAAGCTGTTTCGGTAATTTTTACCTAAATTGTGAAAAAATGACTTTGTCTTTGTATATTTATAAGATGCTTTCTACCTCGTTGTACAAACTTTGAAAGAAGCTCAGTTCAAGTTAAATCTGCATATATTGAATGACACTGCCAAGTGGCATACACCGAACGTTTTCTGCAAATTTAAAAATTTTAAGATAAATTTGCTCAAATCATGTATGAGGTGCCATGTGAAAAAAATAAACTCTAACTGTGTTACGGATTAGATGCTTCTGGAATAGCAAAAATGCAATTGGTTTTTCTTCAAACCTCAGTTGCAGAAATGTCTAAAAAATGGCTTTATCTTACAAACTTTAATGTATACTTTTAAGCTTCATTTTCTTTCAAAATATTAGCTCGATTCGTTCTTTTCTTTCGCAGTATCTCCATGACAACGAAATAGTGCATCGTGATTTGAAGGTTAGTTCTTGTGTTGTCTGTCCTTAGAAGCCTGTTCTGCACCTCGTTTCCACTAATCTATTTACGAGGCTAACCTTTTCGTTGATCTTGTGATACTGCCAAATAGTGCGTCAGAATTGAACTTTTCCTTTTGTCACTGTGGGCATAGAATGACTTACCATCTCGTGCTAAGATTTTCATTGTTTTTGTCATTGTTATTATATATTGTGGCGTGGAAAAGGCATAGTTTATTTCCATCTAATCTCTGTTTTTTACATTTGATCAAAATAAAATGCAAAACTTTGAAAATCAAAATTTCTTTTTTTGTAATTATTATGACAATATTTTTGTATTTTAGCCTGAGAACCTTTTATATGGAAGCCCCGCTGAAGACGCACCTCTGAAGATAGCTGATTTTGGACTGTCAAAGATCTTAACCAATAATTCTACCATGCAGACTGTCTGTGGTACACCAGGATACTGTGGTGCGTTTAATTCCATTCGCATTCTACCTCCACTGAGTTTAGCAGTCTGATATTACGTTAACAGCTCAGCTCCCCCTTGTCTGTATAAACTAAACTTTTCATCCGAAAATAAATTCACGCTTTTATTTTTACAGAAGTTTTTGATTATTATCTACCCTGTAATTTCCTGGGCTCTTGTTATTCTTTTTCACTGGGCATCTCGTTTTCGCTAGATCGCACGTCAATTTTGTTCCCCTTATTGTCTCTTTGACTGAACTGTCAGTTTATGATAGACTTTCATTTTTCAATTATGTGAATTTTTGGAAAACTTTGTATCGTAAGTTTCCTATTAAACTTTGAAGATTTCTTTGTTTCATGGAAATGTTAAAATATAAGTAAAAAAGTACCTTATCTTATAATATAAAAGTTATCTTATCTTATGTTGTCTTTGTCTGTCGCGCAACTCTTTTCTTAGCTATAAATTGCTCTACTATCTTCTTGCTGTATTTTTTTGAAGCCCTCTTAAATTCCTTGATTGTTTCCAACCAAAACTTAGTTCAACAAATAAGGAAAGTAATTTAGAGATAACTTTGAAAAGACCTGGGTGTTAAGTAGAGGATTTTATAAACATAGTCAAAATCTTTCGAATTGTTTGCCTTCAACTGGAAGCCTGAATGTAGATATGGGCTTAGAAATGGGTTCTTGGCCCTGGATTTGCTAAACAAATAGGTATTAAGTGCGTTAAATAGTTGACTGCAAATGATTTTAAGAGCATTTTCCTTTACCCTCAAATCTCTTAATCTGGCTGCTTTTAATGCCTTGTGTTTATTGCAGCTCCTGAAGTCCTTAGAGGGGAAGAATACGAGCCGGCTATTGATATGTGGGCTGTTGGTGTCATTACCTATATTTTGTAAGTTTTGAATGTATTTTTGTGCTCCTTGACTGTTTCCTTTTAAAATATATTTTTGCCTTTTTTCAAAACCAAAGCAACCAAAAGTGACTATAATTACAACTTTGAAGCGAAAAGGACCAATATTGCTGTTACAAAAATATTGATGGGACTTGGTCATCTACTGGTCCTGAACCTAGAAAAATAAAATTTTGGCATTATAAACTTAACCTTGCTGAATATGCAGTAGATGTATATGGATGAAGAAGCCATTTCATAACTAAGCCAAAATGGGAAACATCAGCGGAGTCATCAGGCACTTTATCTTTTCTGATGAAAAGTTGGGCATGTGCCCCCTGTGGTGTCCCTTGCGCCCCTTGTGCCCCTTTTCTATCCTGCCACTCTTGGTTCCTACATCTGTGAGTAGCTTTTGCTTTAAACAAAAGATTATCAGAGCGGAGGTAAAAAAAAATTTTCCAACAGTTATGAGTTTATAGCTCTCTGTTTCCCATGGCCCTTGTATTGGCTGTATTTGCAATTAATAAGTGTTCTTTCTCTCCTTGGCTAGACTGTGTGGATTTGAACCATTCTATGACGATAGAGGAGACCAAGCAATGTTCCAAAGGATTTTGAAATGCGATTATGAGTTTATGTCACCTTGGTGGGACGAGGTGTCTGTTAACGCAAAGGTATGTGCTGCGTTGTGTAAGACTGTTTTCAAAGCTACTCCCTACAAATAGGAAGAACAGTTGTGCCAATAATAAATTCAGATTGCACACTCTTTCTAGAGATGCTTATGTTAGAGATAGGTTAACAGTTCTACTAGAATTTGGACCTAGCTTATAGCTCTCGATCATCATTTTGTGAAGTTAAGTTTGTTCCAGAAAAATGCCTCCTACATGAACTGTTGCGAAACAAGCACTGTAGAACTAAGAAAAACTATACCAGACTTAAAACTTTTTCAACTGCGCTTTTATTTTATCTAACTTCTGGGTAATTAAAGTAGATCGTTTGACCTTCTTTCTCAGAATTGTGGTAGCAAAAACCTGCAAGAACCAGATATTATGAATTTGTGAAATTTAATTGGCATGGCTGTTACGACAGCTGATATAATACACCATTTCACCTGGCTGTTTCAGAACGACCCTTAAATTTTTCGCTCAATTGAACCAAAAAATGCAACACAGCTGTTAAAAAGTACAAACAAAAGATATGACGAAAAAACTTTTTAAAACTTTCTTCTAAGGGATTCCCGCATTTTAACAAGAGTAATTAAAATTGCTTGTTTTCTTTGAATGAGCCAAGTTGCTTAAAGAAAATACCTCCATTTTTTTGCTTAGGACCTCGTTAGTAAATTAATCGTAAAAGACCCGAAGAAGCGGCTTACTGCCAAGCAAGCTTTGCAGCATCCATGGGTACAGGTAAGAGCTAGAATTATTTCAAATTCTATGTTTCACGAGAACTCCACTTATTATTTTATAAATTCAAAGAAAAGAGGATTTTTCCATCTTCTTCTGCTGCTTTTTATCTTTTTCTATGTCATCTTATACACCAGAATGATTGGAAAGGTCACACCAAATAAGTTTCTCATTATGCTTGGTTTCTAAAGTTTATTTCTGATTAAGCTGTGTTTAAGTAAATAAAGTTTATTTACCTGTGTTTCTCATGAAATGTAAAATAGTGACAGGTTGGCCTAAAAAAGAGTAACGCCAACACTACCTAAAAGTAATATTGGCTCAAGATATAAAATTGATTTGGCACTACCTAGAGTTTTCACACAACATTGAGATCGTGATGTTTGTTCATATGTCCAACTGCTTTGCTTTTCTCTCAGGGAAAAGGTGCCAATTTTAAGCACATGGAGCAGACACACGAGAAGCTTAAGGAATTCAATGCCAAAAGAAAGTTGAAGGCTGGCATGCTCGGGGTATTGGCCGTTAATGAGCTCACTAGATTGAAGAGCAAGTGAGTCAATTCTCAATCGAAAATCTAACACTTGATTTGGAGGAAACCATCTAAAGCGAGATGCCATGTATTTGTGCATTTAAAGTATTTAACAGCTTAGATGTAAACGATGACACTGCTTTTCGATCATTTCTAAAAAAAGCTCAATGTTAGATAAGCATTTTGGCTACTTTTTTAGGTCACTATAGCCTTCTTTGAAATTATTGCTCACTGTATTTTTAAGCATTAATCGCTGCTGTATTATTTTTTCAAACCAACTTTAGTTTCCGGCCAAACTAAAAATATTTTGAAGTAATTGCTTCATTCGTTTATTGTAAATTTTTTCGGGAAAATTTAGAGTTCATAGTTTGCAACATGAAAATATTTTTCCAGCTAGGTTTGGCGAGAATGCTCTAGGTAGGTTTTCTAGTCAATTGACAATATTTGATGAGGAGAACACATTATTTTTCGAAACTGGTAAAATAGCTTTGGAAAAGAAACTGCAACGAAGACGTATCGTACAGGTATTGAATCACTGGTTGAGAGTGTACACGTCATACACCCCTACTATCATACACTGCCAACATCTTAGCCAGCTAAGACATCAATTTCTTAAGCTAGCGTTAATACAAAATTGTTCCCTCACTAATGTTTAATATTGTCTCAATTTTAAAAGCTCATCGTCATCCAATGCATTGAAGACCTTAGAAAGCTACTTAAACTTGATCAAATGAGTTTTCTTTTTATTTCTCGTCACTCTCCTGTAGGCAGTCTTAAGTTTTCAATCATGTTCTTAGACCTGTCGTATACGACATGTTTTCTATTCATACTATATTCAGCCTTCACTATAGATTCATTCTACAATCCCTGCCTAATTTCCTTGGAACGCCTTGTTGCCTAGTGTTGTTTGAGAAAATACACTGTTTCAGGTGGATAATACTGACAGTGCACCCTCTCTCCCCAAACCATGTTGATTGTAGAATTAAATATCATAGTCACCTGAAAGAAATCCATTGGGCGATATTTAACCTCTGGACACTGCATAAAACAATTTGGAGGAGGAGAGAGGGTGCGATAATAATGTGCAAACATTTAGTATGATGTGCCAAGACCTTTGGGAGCGATTGTAGTTACGTATAAAAAAACTTTTAACTTAACTTAAAAGTCATTAAACTTTGTTATGTTATGTATTAGGTGCATATTTGTTGTGGTCTTTCCCTTTTAAGGAGGTTTAGATTTAGATAACATTTATTCACTTATGCTGTGAAAATGCGTTATATTTTTAGATCGCTTCACCTAATGCAGAAAATATAAGTATTTACTATCTTGTATTTTAGTCATACTATAATGAAATGTAAATCCATTGTTCAACTACCTGTTTCCTTTCGAAACGAATATATAAGAACTTTTTGGCATGGTAAAAAAGATACGTGCCACTTCCAACCGTCAGGTCGCATCTGGTCTGGTTTGTTCTCTGGTTCGTTCTGGTTTGGTCTGGGCAGAAAAGTTTCCGTCAAGTTTAAAATATCAAATTGTTGAAAATCAGGTTGTGCTTTGTCGTTCCATTCTTTCGAATGATAGCCTGGCCCTGTATGGATTTCACTGTTACCTCTTTCCCTTGTATTCAGCTTCTTTAATCAATTTATCGGTTTTGCTCTCAGATCATTGATAGGATAGGTTTCAAGGTGACTGAAGAGTAAAGAAGAGTGAAAGGTGTCTGAAGAGAAAAGATTGAATGTATGAAAGAGTTTGACTGTCTTAATGGTAAAAGTAATTTTTAATATTGTACAAATAATACAATATCAGTTAAAATTTCCAGGTAGTCTAAACTCCTCATGACCATAAGGGTTGCTTAAATTTGCGAAAAGAATTAGCGATCCATTCTTGTATCTATCTACCTTTTTCATGAAAACTTCTCTATTCTAAACTGTGATGACTACTCATAATTTTGATTTTTAACACACATCAGGAATCTGGCAACCATTATGCTTAATTTTCGTAGCTATTTATTTCTTCAAGTGCGATGGGAAAATAAAATATTTTTTGGAGAAATTTATCAAATATATTAAAGTAAACCTGTAAGTTGTGTGTGATCAATTCATTCTTTGTAATCATATACAGGGTCGTAGCATGGCTATATATATTGAGGGGGGGGGGGGATGGCGGTCCCAACATCAATTCATCCTTGAAAGGCAAATTTTGTCATGGTAAAGTTTTTCCCTTTTTTTTTCGTTCACTATGTACACTTTTCAAAAGATACTTGAAAGGAGCTGAGGCGTTATTTGGGTTGATCAGCCATTTTGAATTATCAATCAGCCAAATGAAAAGTTTCCTTCTGGATTTGGTGTCTGTATGTCTAAAACATCATAAACCATAATGAAAGGTGTTTCTTGAGTCATGAACATATTTCCCGTTGAATAAAGAACTAGAGCGGATAAAAAGAAATGTTCACCTATATCTATATCAAACCTATTAAATAACCTATATCAAACTTACAGTATGTATCTAAGATAATCGAGAGAGCTGCTGCAGACCAAATTGTGCGTCATGTGATTACAAATAGATTACAAAAGCCACTTCAGTCTGCCTACAAACAATTCCACAGCTTTGAGACAGCACTTCTCAAGGTCGAGGACGATGTTCTAATGGCAATGGACAAACAACAAGTAACAATTTTACTGTTGCCTGACCTTAGTGCAGCCTTATCATAACCTGCTTCTAAGACGGCTGTCAGCTAGATGTGGCATTTAACGTCATGCACCAAAATGGCTTGAGTCTTACCTGTCGGAGAGGTTCCAGATGGTCCGTATTGAGAGCGAAATTTCCAAGAAGGAACCTGTTAACTGTGGAGTCCCTCAAGGGTCAGTGCTTGGCCCGCTTCTCTTCACAATCTACACCTTACCTTTGGAGGATCTTATTCGCAAACGCAAACAATCTGCGTTTATATGCAGATGCATCTATTTGCAGACGACACACAGCTATACATGTTCACTCCCACTCCAGTTGATGCAGAACAGTTTACTGAGAAGCTGGAAATTTGTGTACATGACATGAATGGATACTATGCAATAACTTGAAACTGAATAGTGATAAAAAAGAAATGCTCGTAATTGACACGCGCCAACAATATGCAAAGGTCCGAAATACTATATGGCCCAAAGACGAAGCATGGAATTTAGGCGTCATCCTTGACAAGCACATGGCACTGAAGGCTCATGTAAATTGAGTTTGCAAATCAGCAAGATACAATCTCTGTAAATTCAATGTTGCAAGAAGATACTTGACCACTGAAGCTGCTGAAAAAGCCATCCCTGTCTTTGTTATGTCACGACTCGATTGCACAAACTCTTTACTGTATGGTCTATTAGAAAACTCCAAAAGATCCAAAATTCAGCGGCTAGGATTCTGACTGGTGCATCAAAGTATGATCATGTCACCCCAGTATTGAAGCAACTACACTGGCTGCCAGTCTCATCAAGAACCGAGTACAAGATTCTTATGATTGCTTTCAAATGTTTACACGGAGTTGCGCCTCATTACCTGGAGGCCCTTGTCCTAAAGTATGAGCCAGCCCGCTCGACAAGATCAGCTTGTGATGGTTACCTTTTGCAACAACACTGGACAAATTTGAAAACAGCAGGAGACCATTCATTTAGCTATGCAGCACCAACATTGTGGATGGCCATCCCCATTTATTTGCACAGTGTTTTCAGTGTTGCTCAATCCTTCTTGAATGATGTAGGACAGGAATCATACATGTTTAGTGGCTTATAACCGTCTATTATAGTAAGCGATGTTGTGCAATAAATGTTATTGAGAATTCAATGAAGCAGTTAGGAGCAGCTAGATTTAATTTTTAAGGGGGAAATCAAAGTTTTTTTTCAACTACCGAATATTGGAAAGATGTAGTCAAACTTTTTAAAGGATGCTCTTACACCCAGTTCGATCCCTAGATTTTTGGCATTGGCAAGCAGGCATTAAAGACATACCTATTTAGATCCTATTATTTATACTAATGTCAATAATGGTTATTTTGTTAAGCGCATGGGATCATGTATATTTTATCAACCAATGTAAATTATACTCTTTAGTCGAAATTTTTATGTAATTTTATGTTGTAAGGCGCCTTTGAGCCCTGGGGAAATACGGCGCTATAAATACACCTTTATCATTATTACTTATTTATTAATCTTGCAACGTGACGTACTTCATTTTTAAAAGTACAAAAAAATTGCTGAATACCAGGCGTACAATAGATTCTATTTTAAAATAAGGCAGCTACAAGAGAGGGTTCTAGAAGAAGGCAAAAAGTTTGATTGTGTCGTTTTAGATAGGGAACAGGTATGGAAAATAATGTAGATGTGGTACTGTTGCTTGATGAAAAATTGAATGCCAAATGGCGAGAGACTCTTATGAAGAGGAGAGCATAACGACAAAAAAGATCTGTGGAAAGCCGTATGATTTCAGAACCAATGAAGGATTGCACAAATGGGCAGCCCTGAGGTCCTTTTTTTATTCCCTATGGACGTGCTTATGCATAAAGCGATTTCTTGCAGCAATAAGCCCGTTTTCTGTCCAAAACAAACAGGGTTCAACCAGTGTCGAACAACAGATGAAAGAAGGGCTCTGATGAAAAGGCATTGCTTTTGTTTCTGCTGAAAAGGCAAAGACATTGGATTTTATTTCTGCCTCTGTTTATGAAAAAACAGATGTTCCATGATATGCATGTAATGGATGTATATACAAAATATTCGTTCGTCTCTAATTGCCATGGGGTACAAATAAAGTTTCGGTATTTTTCAAAGAGCGTGGCAAGATTTGCCAGCCAAATTGTTTTCAACATCTTATGGGATTCTTTAAAGCTATTTGATAAATTCCCCTGGAGTCCTGATTGTTATTGTAATGCAACGTTTTGAGTTAAACATTGAACTAGTAAGTAGTTAATTGAGAGCAAGCGATTTAATGTTGGCAATGGACGACAAATCATGAGGAACTTTCGCATCGATGATAAGACATACTTGTAAGTAGAGTTTGAATACACCATTTCGTTCGTTTCTATTGAGTTCTATTTGAATTCCATTTTAGAGCTTTCTTAATGGTACAAAATTGCATTTTTGAACTTTACACGTCTTAGTGATAAAATTGAGGTAATGGAAATTGAGACAGATGTCGAAGCAATCACAGGCGCAATGTTTACTTTCTCGATATTGAATACACGCAATCTTGCATTTTGAATTTTTATGAGTGCTATCTGTTACAAGACACCACATCAATTTCCTATCGCTCATTTTCCATCCAATATGCCTAGTTTCATTCCTTTTTGTAAAAACAATATTCTAGATAACGATATTTGCTTCGATTCAGCAGAAGCTACTGTATAAGGCAACATTTCTTTTGCAAGGTGTCGATTTTTTTAATGCAAGAATTTCTTTGAAATTTACTTGCTTCATATCATTGAACATTTTGCATAAATAATTTCTTGAAACCTTGCCATTTAATTTTCCCATTCTTTTCACAATATTTCAGAAAATAAGAAAATTAAAACGTATATTCTTGCATCATTACATTACATTACGCATTGTTTCATTACTCATATTATACTCATATTAAAGCCAAATATTGTTTGAAGAGAAACGATTAAGGATGATTTCGTTTTCTTCTTTTACCCATTCCAGGTCGTACTGCTCTATAAGATGGGCATTCTTCTGGCCCGGGCTTATCCTCACTGAGTGTATTTCAACGTTTCTACCATCTGTAGCTTGCTAGCAGCCCAAACATTGGCACGAAGTTAGCATCCAATTAGAATGTGTCCTGGGGGCAAATACCGGTGAGTCCATGCGTGTTGTTTGGGTCTAAGAAAATAATGTTTTCAAATCCAGTTCGCTGTGCGTTCTCTTGCCTGCTGCTTTCGGTGTTGAATGACGTCCCATTTCGCGATCTTTGCCACAACATGCTGGTTGGTTTTCACAATATGTCGGCCATGGAAATGAGTTACAATTAAAAATGAAATTCCAGTTGCAACAATTGCCAGCATGAGAAAGCCTCCAATCTAAAATATTTCAAATTCATCATTGTACTAATAATAAGCTAAAAATTGTTTGCTCAATGATAAAATTATTATAACATTTGTCATCTTCAAATGATTTTAAAGCAAGTAAAACCGCCATTTGAAGCCCAACATTGGGATATCTTAGCCTAAAACCTTGAAATTCAGCCAAATTCGCAGCAGCACCTCTCTCCTTCCCCTATTACTGGTTGATGCTGACTTTTTCCTCATTTCTTCAAAATGGAATGTTGTCAAATTGTGCAAATAGCAGTGTCCATTGTGTTTTTAAGATTCAATGCTGTTCGAACGTTTAACAATCTACTATGCAAGCTAGCATTTTTGTTTTTATTATTATTAGCGGTATTGCTTTCAGCTGGAATGGTGTCAGATTGAAGCAACTATCAATCAACTTATCGTTTTGATTTATTTTTTCTCAATCCATATTAAATCATCATTTATTTCGATTTACAACTTTCCTGGTCGACATAAGCAAAAAGCTGAAAGTATTCATTTCCTAAATGCTGTCTTCCTTTCGTCTAATTCAAATCCAATGCGTTTGTCCAGTAACAAACTACATGCATATTAATTAAAGTATCAAAAGCGTAACAAGCGTATAGGCTCGACTGTAACCTGGTCCCGTACCGGCTAGTGTGTTCATTGAACTCCAAGACCCGGCTTAGGATGTTTGGCTGAACCCAAGCTGAGCCCAGGCCAATTGGCGAGGTCTTAATTTGACAAGCTAGACTGCATTTGAAATTGCGATTCGTTCGAAATAAGAAGGAGAGCTCGAAATAAATTAAGATTAACTTCTACTTGTTTGCAGTTAAGGAAAAAGGTTTATTAACTGTTTAAGGAGCCTTGCTTAGGAGGATTTGATTCTTTGAATGAAACTAAATTTCTTATTCTTTTCGTTTCAGAAAGATATGCATTCTTAACGCCAGATCGCAGACTTTTATATGCTGCTTCCTTCACAGTCATTATGCGCTGTAAGTCAATAGAAATATACACATTTTATTATGTCATTTGCAACCGTTAGATTGAGGCTCTGTTGGGGTAATAATCCCGAGTTGCCTTCTTCAAAGAGTTGAACATTTCATTATTTTTACATTGACAAGTTAGAACAAAAAACCCAAATGATTAAAACAATCTTAAAGTGTTCTAACGTGCTTCATCTCTCTTTCTCGGGAATACCCTTTAAATAATTGGTTAGGTTCTCTGTTTTTATCTACCGCTCGCTGGAGAGTCGACCTGACCTGCATATATATTACAAAAAGGTACTATAATTTAATGTTGGAAAATACCAGTTGAAGAAGATCTGTGATACTTAGATAGTCCTGTTTTGATAATATTTCAAGAATACGTGTCCAAGGTAACAAATGAGCTCGGCAAAGAACTTCTTCAATGTTGGGTTTCTGAGCGGTAATAGAAAAGTTATTACAAAGAACATTAGAGCCAGACCAAGTGGCAAAGAGATGTTCACCAACATCTGTTTTATACCTATAAAGGGGAAATCAAAGAGCTTTACGTAAGGGAAGAGAAAAGAAAACTAAATGAAATATTAGTTGGCTAACAAACTTTCAATTTTGCAATGATTTGTCATTGAATCGACAAATAATTTATTATCTATGACAATAGCTTGATAATGGTATTCATAACATATTTATCAATGACCATACTCTTGATCAAAGAGCACTAAAATTTGACGCCATAAAATGTATTTATAGAATATTGGACTTTGGCACGATAATTTGAATGACCGCCAAGAAATACCCCCCAAAGAGTGCCAAATCTGTTTGAAGACACCACAGAACGTCGAGGAAAGTGGGGGGTCTAAACAAAGTTGGCGGGGCTAGAACCAAAAAAAAAGCTTTACTAGTGGTACAGTTCTTTTTATTTTGCTTTCTTTCAAGAAGTGGGGGGCTAGAGCCTCCAGCCCCCCTGTTCCACAGTGACTGGTTTGACATGTTAACAAGTGAATAAGATATTGCCAATTGTATATTTTTTAAGTTTAACAACGAATTAAGAACCAAGTATATCGCATTTAACTGATTTTTCACATTTTGAGATATTTTCTGAAGCTTTTCCAGGTTATTTGGTCCAAATTCAAAATTTCTATTTATACCCAAAAAGTGCATACAATTAAATTGTTGCATCAAACGTAGATCGGAAATAAAAAAGATTAAAAATCAGAGCCTTAAGAGAACTTAATATGTGCATCAGTTTAATCTTTATAAATTAAAAATATTTCTGCTTAAGCCTTTATTTTCGTGTCTCAAATGAGCAATTGTCTCAAAAAGTGAAGGTGCTTTCTTTAAACAGTGCTGCGTTGTTAACTAATAGTGAAAAAAACTTGGGAAGGCAAGATACCTCTCCACTTGCAGTATTATAGTGTATTATCAATCTTTGTGAAGAAAAATTGTGGACTTTTCGAAAAGCGTGGCACATGGGTATCTCTTTCAAAGCCTTGCTCCTGGACCCCATTTATGTATAATTTTAACATTCTCAGTTGCTTATAGTAAACTGTCTTGCTGCCTTGTTCTACAAGTTTTCCATTTCTCACATTAACGAACTTCATGGAAAGCAAGCATTGACGAGAATACATGTTTGTTGCACACGAAACTACGTTTCACTTCATCAAAAGTAGATTGCTGCTACGTTTAGGTAGCCATTCAGTGTCGGCTAAGTGTTACACAAGCAAGAAATATTTTCACTCTAGCAAGAGAATAGCCCATGTGACACTATATTGACATAGATGTTTCAAAAGGATATCAATAATTCAGTGAGGGGAAACATAACATCGTCTTATTCTATTGCTTGCTCTGGCAGCTCCTGGTGATAAAGCTGCTACTTTTGGCTTTTATTTAGAATCAAATAAAAGTTGAAGGATTCCATCTTTTTCCACCGATAAGCCTTATAATCGATCTTCTAATAAATCAAATCGAGTATAGAAATTTAACTTCACAGTTTCTATTAAAATAAGGTCGTACATTAAATTAATCTAAAGGTTTTCTCCTATCTGTGCAACTGTTTTAATCTGTTTTGGTTTTGCTCCACTCTATTTTATGACTAATCTTCCTGTTCCTATTCTCAACTGTGGGATCTTGAAATTAACATTTCGGTGGCAGATCTTTAGGTTTTTTATGTCTGTGGGCAAAAAACGGTTCAAATACTTTTATTTTATCACTTTACGACGCTCGAATTTCACGTCGAGGGGAAAGTCAAAAGAGTTTGAACAAATAAGCGAGTGGTATCGAGTGATGTGAAGTATAGTCGACTCATGCCAAAATAGTCCAGAGTTTTTTTAGGGAAGTTTGGGCGCTTCTAAATAAAAGCAGAAAGCCTTTATAATATTGACTTTCATAGACTTCACTTTCAAGTTTACTGCAATATTTTTAATTGTTAGTAGTCATATGTTTATATTTATTAATGTTATAATAATGCTTATGGAGAACTTGATAATAAGAACCACGATGAATAAAAAATGCATATTACTGAAACAGTCGACAACTGCTTATGAGGAAGGGCGGAGACCTTGATCTGTTAAAGAAGATTCTTTTTAAAGAGTCTTTTTTAATGAAGATTTGTTAAAATTACAACACCATGTTCTAGCTAACAATATATTTTGTTCCAAGCTACAATGCTTGCCAAAAGTCTTGGAACACTGAGATCAATTTCCAAGGTCAAAACCAATCATCCCCCTCTCCCCCACGGAACAATGTTGGTTTACTATCAAACGGGTTAGGATTTTAGGAATCACTTTCTTTTGCGCTTCTTTTATGATATTTCTCTAAATCATCAACATTGTTTGAGGGGGAAGGGGGCGGAAGTAGCAATTTTTTCATGGAAGGAATGAAAGATATCAAATGCAGCGTAAATTGGTGGGTGTTCCAAGCACTTTTTGCAGGCATTGTATCTTGTATTATATGAAGCAAAAAGTTTGGTGAATTTAGTTTTTAGATCCTTTAGATCATTTAATTTCATGCGTGGTTTAGAGATGTGCTTTTGTTCATATTAAAAAGTTATAGACTTTTGAAAGTAATAAAATAAAGATATCTTTGGTAGTTAAAGCAGTTCCTTTTTTCAAAACCAGAATAAATTAGCTGCAATTTTAAGTTGAATGCAAAGAAACGCTACTCACATATGATAATTATTTTAAGTTGAATGCAAAGAAACGCTACTCATATATGATAATTATGACCATTCTACTTGCTTTCTTAGCAATGGGATAGGAATAGGATTTTCAATAGGAAAAGCAGAGATTTATGCAGATGACAATTTTATTGAAGACTAATAGTTTACGGAAGAAGAAAAAGAGCTAATTGTAGAAGGGTGAGAAATTATGTTTGTAAGTAGAGCAATTTCTTACTTCTTAGGAGTTGCAATGACCCATGTACTATAATGGTCAGATAGTCTTAGGCTCTGACCAGATAGTCCTAGCCTACTTGATGATGCTAAACAAATTAATCTTCTCACTCATTTTATCTTCAAGTCGCAATTATAAAATACCTTTAAACGAATTCAATATTCTCAAAAACTTGTAACTAACTTCTTGAGAATATTGCATTCATCAAACAAGTGGTGGCTTTCAGTGGGAAAAATATAACTAAAAGGTGCATGTTAAACGTTTCCCAGCAAAAATTACTGGACCGTAGGTTTTTAAAATCTATTTTGATAGCTCGAGGCTGATGCAAAACATATTGTTACAGTTTCTTAAGAATCGAGCAGGAGAGCCTGTATTTGGAAGATTGTTTTTGTATTGCTGCAAGAAAACATTTGATTCAATAATCCCCATAGTTCATCTATTTAAAATGGAAACCGACACAAAGTTTTAGCACTCAGTTAATAATATAATAGTCGATGCAAGAATAACAAACAGCATCAATCTTCTATATTTCTTGAGCCGTGTAAAAATAAGATGGTAGAGCAAAAGCTGATATCGCAAAGCCTAAATTCCTTTCCTCCCGGGCCTGTTCACGAGAGGTTTTGACTTGTGTATAAGGGATGGGTTTATTGGCGATAGTTGCATCTACATTCTTGTTAGCTAGCTTATGAAAAGCAAATTCTGTGAGTAGGAGAGAAGTCTACTTATCATCCTCTCTAAATTTCCCCTCGCCATATCCTATATTATTTTTATGAGGTATGAATGTGTATGCAAACCACCTAGAAAAAGCCTAGCTTCCAAACCCAATATTTCAAATACTTTGCAACTTACTTAAAAAAGACATTGTACATGTCAAAATATTGTTACTGCGCTTGGGGTATAACTTTCAATCGCGTTTATATTCTTTAACGTTTTATACCTTGTCAAATGACGCTATTCACAAAGGTGAATTAAATTGGATCGCATTAGAGGTGAAAAACTCCCGGAGTATCCATTGACTGAGATATCTATTAGCATATTGCCTCTTCTTGCACAGTGATGGCATTTACCTTCTTCATTCTATCCTATCTTGTCTCCTAAAAATATTTTTGCTTGCCAGAATAAAACCCACGCATTAAAAGCTTTTTCATTTCCCTAGCAACGTCTAGCTGGAGCGCATTCACCTTGATGAATAAATGAAAAGGCAACTTATACGTAGATTTTAATTTCTATGCCATGGTATAAATTGATTTTCAGCTTAAACTGAAATAAGACTATTTTAAGAGCATTATTTAAATCTCTAAACTTGTGTAATCTTTGATTTGCTTTCATATGCTTAGGGAATGTTATTGATAAAGGCTTGTAGTTATTTGGTATGAAATCCCTTGTATAAATGAAATCGTTTTGCCTCAAGATTATATGAAACGAAACATCTGTAACTAAGAAAGCGTCCCTGGGTATAAACTTATGAAAATGCAATCGTTTGAAAAGCATTATTTACGTGTAGACAAATGTCTTATTCATTTTCCTATAGATAAAACAACTTTTAAAAACGTATGGATGTTTCTCTTGCCTAAAAAATGGATACCTATGTTGTAATAATGAGATTAAATTTTACAGAAGAAATCTGAAAGTCTCAATATCTGACTCCTCTCAGACGTTTACCTTAGTTTTTGGCAGACTATAGCAAAATCCTACTAACAAGAAAATATTATGCATAAACAGCGTTCAAATAAACCAATTAAGTCAACAAAGACCTGTCTGCCTTTATCAGTTGTGATAGCTTAAGCATAAGTGCTCATCATAGAATCAGACATGAATTATTAAGTCAAACTCTGCAAATATTTTTTGCATGTGTGTTTGTTTTTAAATATAATCGTTTTAACGAGTCACCTTTTCCTCAAATTTATCTTAACCTAATTCTTTTCGTTCGAATGTTTTATCCTCTAGTGTTTTTATCTATGACTAACTAAAATAAACTTTTAAACTTTCATATTGAAAAATACTGTCAATTATTGCTGAAGTAAAAATTTCATAAAATTGTAGGCAAAAAAATCGACTTACTGTGGAATAAAATCGATACATGCTGTGAATATACGTGTGACAAATGGCCCTGCTTTGATCATTGACACATCCACTCCCTTTCTCTGCCTTTGTTCCATTTGGCAAGTTAGAATAACCTTTCAGGTCCATTTTATTCTTCTCTGTTGCATTATGCTGTTTTGAAGTGTTTTTTAGACTGACAATTGAATCATTTAATGACAAAGTTTTTTTGGCATGTGTGCAGTTATGGGCCGCAAGTTTTGTACCTTTCTTCGTCTTTAATGACAACAAAGAAGAATAATCAATGATTATTAAAACCATAAATATAATCTCTTTTATGTTGTGTGAGAAAGTCTTCGGTATATGCAAGTACCTCATTGCAATATTTTGTGAATCGTCTTCAGTTTGAATCGACTTGCTCAATTAATAAGTTTTCTTCTTTGTTGAGCCTCGTAAAGTCCAATCTTAGTTCTAAAGATGCTTTAAGGCTTTATAAAATTCTCACTAGAAACAGACGGGCAGAACTGCCAAAAAAGATTCTTTCACAAAAGCTATTGCCCACTGAACGCGTTCAGAAGCGTGCATCCCCACGAGCCATCCTTTCGTTTCGCAGCGAAGTAATGCTTTCGTATGAACGTTTCCAGTGCATAGACCTTTCAAGTGCCCTCTAGTAGTACAGCAACTTTGAGTAGTATAACATGATCATCTAACTATGCAAATCAAGATTTAAATGAGCGACATGAGTTTCCTGCACGAATTACTTCAAGATCGCGTGGGTTAGCACCTCTGTTTGCTGCGACTCGATTCAATATTCTGTACGAGCTGCCCGGATTCGTTCGGTCATCAAAAACACGAGCAGATTATCGGCTGCTTATTGTCTAAAATAATGTATTCTATTTATTTGCATTTGAATTGTGTTTTCCAGGATCTCATCCCCAGATTTGGATTATATCTCTTTGTGCTGTCTGTGTTCCGCTAATATTTATTATAGACAAACCAGACTGTTGCTAGGCCAAAGGCACCTGTAATCGCAAGAAACAAATATGTTTATGTTGCAACAAAATAAATAGTCCAATCTGCATAACAAAGTGGCAAAATAGATGATCATGCTGTCTAAAGACAGTGCGAATGATTCTCACATGGCATCGTAATCTGTCGCATGATAACTAGATGTGCTTAACTAAACTCTTTTTTTATAAGAACCAATAAATTTAAGTTCAGGCTGACTTTTCTTAAGTTTTTCGAAAATCGGGCTGGATTGTTTTTAATTTGTTTTAAATTAAGGGGGTTAAGCAGTGCAATTGCTAGCTTTTCGCTCTAGGGAGGTGTTCAGGCCTCATTTGCCAATAAAGTGAGTGAGACAAACTTCATTTGCCAACAAGTTTGAATCTTCAAAGGACAAGCACCCGCATATGGCTTGAAATCTTCGTTTTTAAGATAAAATGTTGTTAAAAATTGGATTTTACAGTAGCTCAGCCACAGCTTGTTCTTAATTTGTTCTCAACTTTTGACCAATTTTGAGGCTCGTGTTCTTATTAAGTTGTTCTTATAAAAAGAAAAGAGTGTATAAACTTATAAATCTCAAGCCAAGATATAATAAATATTTTGCCACCAATTTACAGGTAATGAGATTTCTAAATTGTTATGTTGGAGAATCTAGGTAAGAAATTGCAATTGCCAAAGTATTTGCTTTTTAAACATCTATACTCAAGAGCCTGTTATAGTTAATGGCGAAATGATAAATCTTGCGTCAATTTGTCTTTATTTGAAATATTAATGATAACTGCTTAATATAAAGCTAACTAAAATCTAGATAAATTCATGAATGAAATGAGGTGAAATTTTGCTACCACGCAAAATAGTATAAGCTGAGCTGTATTGAAGATTACAAAACTGTGTGCATAAAATGTGTCTAACGGCATATCCCCTTTGAAACCTGGTTTTTTTAAAGAGCAAAGAAGCAAGTTTCAATCTAAATTCTATTTTTGAATTGATAAAGCATTGAAAAAATTAAATCATTTTCAATACACTCTATCAATGTTTTATTATGATCCCTTACAAGGGTTTTCTCGACGATTTTGCGATGACAACAACTATGGCGAAATGTGATTTCTGCAAAGGGGAATGGTAATTTTATTCAAGACTTGTAATGCAGAACTGAAGTAAGACTAAAAGACGATCTATCTGTCAAATGTTTAAAATACCTGCAAGTTCCTCTAAAATATTACCTTGGTGTCTGTTAACCAGTCATCGAGAAAATGCTACAAGCTTTAAGAATGGGCTTATACACAGAAATGCTGACTTATACAAGTGGGTGTTTTGGCTTCGGAATTTGACTTTAGAATTATGCTTAAGAGGATTGGATATTTATCCATTGTGAATCGCTTTAACACTATTTGCTCTGATACTGTCTCTGGGAATCGTTGTAATCCTGTCTTAATGTAGTTTAGATTTGTCGATGTTTAGCTTTTATTTATTAAGCTTGAGGCTTATCAATTCTATCAAACAGGTCTCTGGGTTGATCAAGAACATGAGATAGCCTGTGCGCAGACTCGACTGGTTTTCCCAGAGATGAATCTAGTTGACTGGAAATTTAGTTGATTGGAAAAGTCATTGGAAAACAAAATTTTCCATTCAATTAAATTCATCTCTGGGAAAACCAGTCGAGTCTGCGCGCAGGCTAAATGAGTATCACTTTACATCATTACGTGAAGTGAAGCGAAATAATTTAATTTTTTGTACAGCAATTCGATTGAAAATTAGCAAAACTGGTGGTATATAGCCGGTAACATTGGTTGCGGAGAGAGCCATCGTTAACTCACCGAAACAAGCAGATCAGAGTAACGACCTGGATGAAAATACACCTCAAACAAACAGGGTCTTGCTTTATATCTACAGCGCAGTTTTCATTATGCGTATCTTAATAAAACTATATTTAACATTATAAAAAACCTAATTATTTAAACTGTGATATAATCGATATTTAATGATAAACTGTCATTCGTTCAAAGTTGATAGTACCTATAATTTAGAATCTAGAAAAAATTACTGAATTATGCATTGTCGAACTGAAACAAGACCTGACTTTGGGCTTTATGGCTAATACGATCATCAAAAACAGACATCATTTTATGCGTTACATCATTCTAAAGTTGTGAATATTTCGGATGGATTATTTCAACTTTATTTATAATAATACTTAAGTAGGCACTTAAAAATTGAAATACCTGCCCACTGGAAATCTGACATTTTCTTGCTTGCGTCTTATTGCGCTCAAGGTTTCTTCTGATTTTTTGAATTATTTTTAACAAGACCTGCTCTTTATCCAACAGATAAGAATGGGGAAGCAAAGAGCTAGGATCACTGTTTGTGCTGCACATAGATTCTGTTAATCCAGTTTTTATGTTTTGAAAGTTAGGCTTTTACGTGGATTAGGTAGATACATGTCTCAGTTGTGGCTGTTTCTTTGAAATCCAACTATAGTACTCTAGGATGCTTTAATAATTTATTTGTGCAAAGATGCAAAGGATCTATCTCCTTAAAACATTTATATTCAACCATTCCATATATCGCCCAACTTTCAACAAACCTATAAAATCAAACTTTGAGTTTGATTACCTAAAGATTCAACTCAAGTTAAAATGATACTTCTATTATTTGTTTTCTTGTCTAACTGACTAGAGAGCTCTAAGTTAAGAATGGTGTTACATCTTACCTCCTGTACATCAACACTAGACAACAACGTTGTTTGCGTGGCAGTGGGCAGCCAATATCTCCCCTTTTCCTAGCTGGCCTAATTCGGTTCTAACTTGCCCAACGTTCATTGAAATAATCAAAATAGTCGGTATAAATTATGCAACATTGCGTGTCTAAAAACGCGAAATCAATCAAAACCAGCACAATAATCATTCCTCGGCGGCCTGTGCAAGTTCAGCTTATTAGCAATATTGTTCTGTTGAAAACCTATTTATGCAAGCAGACCATTTTCAAGTGATCCTAATGTCAAAACATGACGCAAGGCTACTAACTGTCAAGAGAAAGAGGATAGAATCTTGACATGGTATTTTTATTGACACCATGACATTCTTGGCAGGTGGTAAGATGGAAATGTATAGTCTTCTGTGCCGAAAATTGCTTTTTAAGTTTGGCTGAAATTTTTTTAATAAGGTGCAATGCTTTATAGGCTCAACATTATATTTTCAGATAAACGTCAAAGCATGAAAAAATAAAGAAAATGGAAAGTGCGCCAATCTTTTATGCCTAGACATAATAAAGGATAAGCTCCAATTAACGAATTTATCAGATATTCCAGAATCGCTGTCTCTGAAAGACATCTTAATAGCCAAACTCTCGATTTAGAATGACATGAATAGAAGATATAGTTTGCTTTAGCCTGGGTGGTGCCAGCTAGGGCTCCAGCCCCCCCCCCCACTTTTTTACAAAGAAGTGTTTTTAAGAGAATAAAAAGAATAAAAAAATAGAAATAGAAGAAAAGAATAGTGCGATAAATCCTTTTACAGTATTCCTTTACTTCAAAGGAATAAGCCGGGGTCTATGGTGCCCTATAAAGTAACGAATTCCATTTTAAGATTAGAATTAATCAAACGTAAAAAACCATGCCTTAAAAAAAGCAACATTTTTGCAAAAAAGGACCGCAAGGCATATTCTGAAATTTATTTTTAACTAGCCTAGAGGGCGTGGTTGCAAAAATTTTCTGCTCGCTTCGCTCACAAGGAAGCTTCTTCTTTGGATATACCTCTAAGGCCCCCGACAACCTATCGCAGGCCTTCCAATGTACCGCTCCCAAGGCCGTCCGAGTGAGTAGCTATGTTTCCAGATATGTAAAGGCAAATAATGATGGTTTGTAAAAAGGAGTCCAGAGGAATGCCCCTACGTAAACTTTGGATGCATCCTTTTAAAGTCATTATTAGTCGGATAGTTTATTCGAGGCTAGAATCTCGCACATGGATCCTTGAAGAGATCAAGGCATGGTGTGTGTTGTCACAATATTGACACAAGTAACATATATCATTTGTTGGCTCAAATCGTTCATGACTTTTTGGATAGGGTTTTTTTAGTTACAACCTTATCAAATCAAGTCGCTCACACAAAATCGCTATACAAATCCAAGAGAAGGACAGGAGTCCCTTTCCCGCATGGCCGTCGCTTGCTATGGTGCTCAAGGGGGTGCTTAGGCCTAAATTGCCAACAAAATGGATGTAATATCATTTATCTGCCGAAAGGTTTGAACATTTGCCGACGAATAGAAGCATCCCTTAATGGGAAAAACTCCTTATTTCTACGAACAGAATTTTTTTCAAAGGGGGTGTCAAACTCTAACTCCCCACTGTAGCAACGGCCTTGCTTTTCCGTTAACCAATATAATTCCATTATAGATCTGTACTGTACGTATATCATGACTTCCGACTTCTACAGAACGAACTGCTGAATTCAGCCGAGTCTCACCCAAAGACAAATCTAGCAAAAACTACACTCTTTTTTATAAGAACCAGTAAATTTAAGTTCAGCACTGCTTACACCCTCTTAATTTAAGAACAAATTAAGAAAAATCCAGCCTCAGATTTTCGAAAAAATCAAGAACAGCCAGCCTGAACTTAAATTTACTGGTTCTTATAAAAAAAAGAGTGTATGTGCATATTCCTTGTGCTGTCCCTCTTGAATATGTAGTCCTTTTTTCTTTGGGCCATCAACTATCCTTTGATAGTGAAAACTGCTCTAAGAATGATAAAGGACAATACTTCCTGTCCGTGGCAAGCTATTTAGTTTTGCAATTCAACTAACAACTCACAGGCATCCTGCTTTAATTTGTATGCTAAAACCAGGAGTTTTGTACCAAAAGAAATTATCACTAACTTGAAGTCAAAACTCTTGCAACTAGCTATAAAAGTTTTCCAATCTTTCTTCAAATTTTTGTCCCGGGAAGGAACTGTGCCTCTTCTTAAGAAAGTCTTTATTCTTTTTCCATTTCTACGCACAGTTTCTCATAGAGAGGGAGCCTATCAATCTGCAAAATCATCAATTTGCGCAAAAAGGATGGCAGCAAGGTCTCTTAAAATCCATTTGTCCAAGATATGTTATCAGATATCTTTCAGACAAGTCTACGGTTTTGAGCACATGTTCAATACCTGATCATAATTCCGCACGCTGATGAACTGGAATCATATCTTTTGTAAATGATATATAACTGTAGCATGGAGGCAGGAGCAACATAGTCATTAGGCTAGCAGGTGCTGAAGCACCCCTTTACATTTCTCAATGATATGCTGCAAAACTTTCAAAAAATTTATGTTACCGTTTGATGAGAACGAAGTCATATATTTCGTCAAATTTTTAAAGATTTTGAGATCGAGTTGAATCGAAAATAATCTTGTCTCCTAGGCCAGAGAAGCTGCTTTCTTTATAAAGTCTTGGAAGGGAGTGTCTTGCTAACTGAAAACGGGCTTTGAGTTTTAGTCCAACTTTCAAAATCTATAATTTGATAACATCATTTCATACATAAATTGAGAACAATACGTCACTTGATACCGACAATTTGACCAGCCGTGTAGACGTTTCAAATACAGTCAATTTGACAGAGAGTCTTCTTCATGCCAATGCTAATTGTTCCGACATTCTAAATAGGGTGTTTTCAATTGCAAAGGATTTTAATGATGAAATATGGCAAAATTTTTCCGGGCCCGTTTTACAAGCCGAAAAAGTAAGCAACTTTAACACCTATTGGCGCCCTTTTGCTTGCTTTTCCCGGTGGGTTAAAGGGTAGCCAGTCCGCTACTAGTGCTATTGCTAGCTTTTTTGCTCTAAGGAGGTGTTCAGGCCCTCATTTGCCAACAAGTGAGTGAGACAGCCTTAATTTGCTGAGAAATTTGAATATTCACCGAAAAAGCACCCACACATCGCTAAATATCCCCGATTTTGAGAAAAAACGTTGTTCAAAATTGTATTTTGCAGAAGCTCGGCCTCAGCAGAAGCTCAGCCTTAATTTCTTCTTAACTTTTGACCAATTTTGAGGCTCGTGTTCTTATAAAATTGTTCTTATAAAAAAAAGAGTGTACCAGTCGTTGGATTCGGTGTGTATGTAAACACAGACACCTGTCTCAAGATGAGATATTGGCAGGAGTAACTGGTTGCAAGTTAAACGTTAAAGTGGCAGGTGGGTATGAGCAAATTTTCACGGATCGAAATGCCTAATTCGATTACAGAAAGCAGAAATGATTTTAAAATTGTCTACAGAGGAATAAAGATCATATTAGAGTTGGAGACTGTGGCCATAATTAGGGTAGAGGCTGCACTAGCGCAGCGAAGGGGCAGGAGGGCAACCCCCCAAATTATCAGAAAGTTTGTTTCTGACAAAAGTGCTTAAATATAATTTCCATTGCTTGTTTTAAGTTGTCTTTCGTGAACAGGCGCTTTTCGGCATTCCAAAGGGCGAATTGTTTTCTAAGATCCCTACAGCTTGCCCCACTTGCCTTTGCCCCCCCCCCTCCCCCAAATAACTTGCATCCTAGCAATGTTAGTGGATGTATGATACAAAAGTCATGAGGTTGCTTTCGCAATAATATTTCCGTTCATGCGTCTCATTGTTATCCATTTCCACCTTCACGAATAATTACATTACACATTAAACTTAAACTTGACGGCCAATGCATTTATGATAAATCAGACTAATGAAGAAAATTAAATTTTTGCATGCAAGATAGAATTATTGTTCAACATTTATGCACTAAATGTAATTAAACTCTTTGAACGACTTGCATCTAAACATTAAGAACTTTTGTTTTGAATGTCACAGAGCTACATCATAGCAACATACCTTTGGTAAAATTTGCCACGATTAGTATTAGTGATGATGAAATACTCTGCCTAGACATTAGATGATTTCGCATTCTTTTACAGATTACACCGCCTCATCTTTGCAGGTTGCATATTGCGTTTAGTTCCCATTAATAATTGGCAGTATACATACACATGCCCTTTGCTTCATGACATTTAGAGATAGGTAACCGGTTGTTTTATGAATTGCAGGTTGCAAAAGAGCGCTTTATGTAAGTAAGTATTTTATTACATAGCCCATTTAGGAAACCCCCTTTTAGACGCACGAAACCAAAATGATGTAAACATGCATTCTAGTATTCTAGTAACAGCCAAAGGCATGAATTGCAGTTTATAGAAGTATAGGCAGATTTTGACATTCTTAAACACAGTTTCGACGGGGCAATATTCAGCATAGAAATACACTTCGAAAGTAAATCCAAACGTCCAAAAATCGGATCAAGCCCAAATTTGGCTTGATACTGCAGCACCAATAGCACCCACCTCAATCCGGCCCTACAAAAAGGCAAATTTTGATCAAGAAAGCTAACAACACCAAGCACTGCAAATGGGCTTGACAGTAGAGAATGAATGTCATTTGCTCTGATCTGATGTGTGGGCAAACATTAAGAAAAATGATGGTCAGTGAACTTGCAGGTTGCAGATATAGATAACAAGCTTTCTGTGTTACTAAGAGCAATACATAGAAACAGTAGCGCCGACAGGGGGATTCAGCCAAGGTAGTGCTTTGGGGTCCATGCTCAGAACTTAGGTGTCTTTTTTAACCATCATACATCAAATATTGATGTATTTGAAATTAATTATGCGTTGTTTCTGTTTAAGACGTCTTTTCGACGATCTTGAACACCGGCTAGAAAGGTGGGTCCGAATGATGGCTAACTGAATGATTTAGCTAGTATATGGCTATTATTATGAATGCTGAGGTGTTAAAAGTGATGTTGCTAACAAAATTGACATTAGTCGATGCTTTTGCCTTAAAAAATCTCGTAGTGTTGCACTGTAAAGATTTTAAAAATAAATGGATAACAGTTTGAATAAAATGTATCGGGGAGAGAGGGACTCATAAGTTGACTCACTTTTATTGCCACATAGCTAATTGTTTTGTATTGACTTGTAAAACCGCACTTCTACCTATTTTGTATAAATAGAGCCCCGGGCCAAAGGTTTGTAAGAAAGATTTAGATTAGTAACGTATTAACGTAGAAACGTATAAAGCCCATCTTAGCATTAAGTTTCAGATCAAGGGAGTTTACAGGGACGAAAACAGGGTGTGTCATTAAATTTTTGACGGTCGAGTCTTTTACCCCGGGACCCGTCCCGCCTGGTTGCGGCCCTGCATAAAGAAATCGGTAATAAAAGGTTTGATCTAGCATAAAATTTCGAATTTGCCTTTGTCCATGTATACTAGAGGATTTTTCTAGAGGGTATTAATCTCTTCAAGCTTTAACTCAGATAAAAAGAATTTAAGCAAGTAAGTTACAAATATATGATGGTTACTGAGAGATTGTTGCTGCTATCATTCCTTTAGAAATGCAGTAATACTGTGAATTTGTAAAAATCTTAAAGTATTCTTCTCAGCAGGAGATTTAAAAGAATTCATTAAACTAAAGGCAACTTTGACTATATTATTTGGCAGAAATGAATTAAGTGAAATGTATTTATATTCCTCGGTTCTCAGTTATCCAACTGCCTATTCATTTTATAAGAAAGATCCATAGAACTTAAACAGATTCAATGTCTTCTATCTTTTAATATGGTCTGTAAAACTCTTAGTTTCTTGGTAAAATCATCTTTTGGTAGGGGTAATACATAGAGTTAATAGGACCCTATTAACTCTATGCTGAAATAGCATCAAAATTGAAATAGCATTCATTACATTCACTTACAATGATCTATGTTGTTATAATTTATTTTGCCTGCTAGAATGATAGAGAATAACTGTTAAAGCTGTTCGAATGTTGCCTTGATTTCGACATTTGCAAAGATTTACTAAACATTTATTTTTCAACTTTCAAAAAATATCTACATATATACTTTTTTATATCAGATTATGCATATTGTATTCTTTGTTATCAGATTATCACCATACATTGAGCGATTGAGAGCAAAATAATCTTGACCGTTACATTTCGAAACCCATTGATTGATAACGATAAGAAGAGACACAAAACTATTTTCTCGTTTAACTTAAATATTTTCTTAGCAAGTACCTGCTAGTTACTTATAATCATACATACCGAACAGTGTTCCAATTCTGCGCTGTGATTGTTTTCTATATATCCGTTTGAGATTCTTTTCCCTTTGGCTTAACTCTGAGCTGGTGTTTGCCTTATGAAATCTCTGGCAAAATACAATTAAAACGAGCAAAGCAGCAGATTCCAATTTCATCAACAAGATTTGCATAGTATCAATTTTTAAGTAACACGTGTCTCATTTGACTTATGACAATTGTTCTTTTCAGCTAAATTATTTATTCATTTTTCTTTGAAGATAACAATAACATAACATCTGCTTTCAACTCTGTGACTTCAGAACGCTCGATTATTTGAAAAAACAAACCACTCAAATAAGTGGTTTTTACAGTTCGTTGCTAAAAATTTATTTTGTAACAGGAAACGTATTCAATGTTGAAATAGGTACACTTGAATTGACGAAAAAGAAGGGAGAAAGTGAAAGATAAGAAGAACAGGATCCAAAGGCTTGATCTCAGCAAAATATTTGGCATTTTTACATCTAAAAATGCTTGTAAAAACTTTTCCTTTACATATTACCTTCATCTTCAAAACAAAGAAAAGCAAAGGCATTTTCCTCTTACCCCCCCCCTTATTCCCCTTGAGGAGGCAAAAGTTTTTTTGACGGTTATCTACATGTATATTTTGAATTATCATATTTTTCTAATCTATTGGTTTATCGATATGAAAATTTTGGCTAATCTAAATCTTCTAATTAGCAGAAACACCGCAGGAAGGAGAAGTTGCCATTATTTTCTATCAATATGCTTGCATCATGTTCTTAGACTTGTTAATCTCCCATATCTTGAATATTTTCATTTTGTTTGTTTTCCTTGTTACGTGTGCAAGTCAAGGGTGGTAGTGCTTCTTGATCAGTTATTGAGCCTTAAAAAAGAGGAAAAAAGAAAAAACCGAGAGAGTTCAACGAGGCGTTTTCAAACAGATTTTAGTTTTTACAAACAGACCAAAGCAAGTTAGGTGAAAAACTATTTTGGTAAACCCTAACTGAAAAATGTAACGTTCTCGTGGCTACTTCAAACAAAATTCTGTCGCTTCCCGCTTCACGACGTTCACATGGCTACCGCTGGTATGGATACAAATTCCTCTCCTTGAATCCCTGTGGTCTGTTATGGCTCCATTTTGAACATGTCGATATTTTGTATTTGCAGAAGAAGTTCAATGGGATGGCTTCAACCACAAAGAAGCTGCCAAAAATCAAGCGAGAAATAGATAAATTGAAATTCAAGGTAACTTTTGATTGACTTAAATGGCCTTTAGGTAGTTAATATTTATTTTACTAGCAATTCTCTTGGCAGTCTGGATATCTATAAATAGTCGTCTAGGCCCAAGCCAAAAGCCATTCTCGGTTTCGCCCCCTCTTTCATGTTATAGTTGTAAATTTGATGATGAATGATTCTGGTGTATTTTAGAGAGACGTAAACGGAATTTCTTTTAAAAAATATATATTTTGCACACATTATACTTTCCAGGGAAGGTCTGTCTAAAATCTGGCGGTCATGCAGTTTAAAAAGTTTGGCTACAAAACCACAATTTTCGATTTGGGAATCGGATCTTCCGAGTCTCTAGAAACACAGCCAGATTAGAAATTGTAGAAATTAACATATCTACGGGATATCTACGGGCTGGACAGTTGGGATCTCAGTTAGATTTGCCTTACATGGGGAAACCATGTAAACTTCATTAACATGGTTTCCCCACACTGTTCCTTTTTTTGAAATGCAATGCATTGGAAACACGCAAAGAAAGAAACACAAAAGTATTTGCTGTATACCACATTTGTAATTGTACATCTGGCAACAATTGTGTAGTTGTTTGGAAATAACTCTTTAGAAGCCCAGCAATTTTTTGTGTTAGAATGAAAGTATTTGCCAACAACAAATTAGCCTAAAACGTTCACAATCTATTTGTGAAGAATGTAATGACATTAAGAACTAAGTTCTTAAATAACGAGCTTCATGATACTAGCCTGGGGGCAGTCCCATATTTGACCTGAAGGGATGTGCCACGTGACAGGGTATGAAAATTAAGAAACTCTATAGAGAAGACACAGAAGTTTTCTTAGAATAACATATTTCAGTTACATTAGCTAGTAGTAAATATCATGAGATTTGGCAGAGGCGAATCCAGACTACGGCAACCTATGCAAAAGCATAAGTCAGATTTTTACAAAAAAATGGAAACTATCAAAGTAATAAATCAATAGTTTCTTTGTCAAATTTTTTAGCAATGTCTGTCCTAGATCTGCCCCCATTGATACCAACAACATGCGTAAGACAGAGCATATATTTTGCTGACTATCTTTCAGCCTCTGCACAGAACAGTAGATTGGCAATTCTAGGCATTTATCTGGTCTATATTTCTGAATCCAAAAGCTTGTTTGTCCTTTGAGAGCCAATCAACACTTGTTCTACCTATGCAAATGTCTTGTAAACCAATCAGAGTATCATTCTGATCTGATCAAAGAGGGTATCAAATCAGAAGTTGAGCTTGCCTCTGCAGCAGTACAGCCAACCAATGGGAATCAGGGTTGAGCTATGCAATTATTTACAGTGGACCTATGCAATTGTTTCTTGCAACCAATGAAATGGAAATTGACAGTCACTGCTTCAGCCCTGCTGAAGAACTTCTAGCTAAGTCAGTCAGCCTAAGTTCCGAAGGTGGGTGGCCCTGGTTTGATTCCTACCAGGCTCTCTTTCTGACAACTTTTGCATAGGTCAGAATTCAGGCTAGATCCATGTCTTGGCATAACTGTTTGGTATTTTTGGCATACTTTTTATGGGACAGGGTATGCTTTTAACAATTTTTTTGGACATGGTTAGGGTGCAAAAGCTTTTTGTACACCTTTGCCAGCTTCCCAATCTAGTGCTCCTACAGATGCAAGAAACAAACAAACCTAAAGTGGATTTTGAGTCTGAAAAGTAAATTTGAACAATCTTTCATCCAGTCATAAATGTATTTGTCTCATTTATACATACAACATAAGTGAATTTAGGTTGGTTACCTAGTTGGCTTATTCTTGTTTGTTTTCTAAACTCATAGGTTGATGAGCTTTGTGATCATGAAATTCCTCATCTCGGAGCTGCTTCACCTGATCGGAAAAGTGTATATGACAAGTAAGATTTTATGGTGCAGGTTAATTATTTATTTTTTGTGAACCCATCATCAATCTCACCATGTACTTATTTTTCTACATTTATAATTCAAAATATAGTGTTATCTGTTTGTTATTAGATGTTTTGTTTGCAATTTTTGTGTAACTATCAATATTTATTCAAGCTCTTACCATTCTCTTAATCTCATGTCAAAATCCATCAGCTTTTGATGTGTCCCATATTGATATTTGTTTTGGATTTCAGTCAGCAACATGCACTTAGACTTCTTCCATTAGATAGTGTCCCTAAATTTTTTCATTTGCTGATTACAAGTTCATACGCATTAGCTACCATTCTACACATTACTCCATGCTCAACCAATGTAGCTGTATAATTCCAATATAGCTGGAGATGAGGCAAACTATATTGTTAGATCTAAGATTCCTTCTTTTAAGGCATGCCTGCAAATTTGTATGTCTTATCAATATTAGAATGTTGATTTCTTGCCACACTGGATTGTACCAAAACAATATCATTTGGGATAAACTCATTGGCATTCTGGGGGAGCATTCTCTGGTACACCTTGCCTGATACGCTAAAAAAATGTAAAAAACGTATCCAAATTTAAAAAAGGCATACATGCCTGGAATGGAGACAAATGTAGCTGTAAAATATGTAAATAGGTAGATTAATATTGTACTTTTTTCTTTTTATGTATATATATATAAATAGCTGGTATTAATTAGTTTTACATAATTATCTATGTATATTAACTATCGCTCAAACCAACTGTAAATGAAGAGATTATTATTATTATTACTTTTTCTTATGAAATTGAGCTCATGATGTTGGTATTTTCCTATTATTGAAATTTTACTATTATTGCTGACAACAATTCTAATAATTTTTTAGATGTAGCAATTTGACAGCTGCAGTTTATGACCTTATAAGCCAGATAGGCCAATTATCACTGGTAGGTCAATTTTCTTATCACACTGTTGTGTGTGACGTTATGAAATAGATCATATGAAAAGAAAGAAAATCTCTTCTTTGTCTCTTCTAGAATTGATCTTCTTGTTGCTTTTTCTCTCTTATCTTTCATTGCACAGCTTTTTTATCTTTGCCATTCAAAAAAGTCACCTTAAACTTGAATGTGCACAGTTTTGCTAAAAAAACTGCCAATCCCTTTCTTCTTTTCAATTTTTGCTTTTTTCAATTGTTACAGAGGTAACCAGAATCCTTAAAACAAATTATAGGCTCAAAGTAGAATAGGGAACCAATTTGATGATATACCACACAAGACAATCCTGAATGAGATACACCGGAAAATTCATCATTCTAGTATTGTGGTCTAACAATCATATTGTTACAGCCTATTTATATAACCATTTATATGCAGATTTCAATCTATAAGTTGATATCATGTATTTTTTCACTTCAATGACTGAAACTTAATTGTCATTTCTGTTCCATGATAGAAAAATGAGAAATTGCCAACTAAAGAATTTGAAGCGGCAAAAGCTGCAGAAGGCAGAAGGCTAACTGTGTTGAGAGTATGTTTTTCCTTTATCTTGCTTTGTTGAAAGTATGTTTTTCCTTAATCTTGCTTTGTTGAAAGTATGTTTTTCCTTTATCTTGCTTTGTTGAAAGTATGCTTTTTCTTCATCTTGCTTTGTTGAAATTATGTTTTTCCTTTATCTTGCTTTGTTGAAAGTATGTTTTTCCTTTGTCTTGCTATGTTGAAGGTATGTTCTTAGAAATCAATTGAATTTTTATTTCACCAAAACAAGAGAAGCGATATCTGTCAATTTACTGGTTAAGAAGCCCCATTTATGTCTGTTGGAATAAAGATACTTTATGGCCTTGTGATGGATCTTGTATTTTTAATTTTCTATAAAATATAGATTCAGTAGTTCAAGGCTTCATGTTTGTTGGCTTCGTACAAAGTAGATTTGTGCATTGCTCTTGTACAAAATTTACCAATTGATTCTATTATAGGAAAAGCTAGAACAGATATCTTCCCAGCTGGAGCCTGATGAAGTAGAAGAAGATTATCTAAGGTTAGACACAGTTGTTGTCTCTTGCTTTTGAGAATTTAGGGTCAGTTTATATAGACAAATGCTTGAAATATATTTCCCTCCCTATAATATGCAAATAAGTCAAATTTAGGGTTAGCATTGCTTGAAAATTTAAATGAACATGTTTCTTGTCATTCTTTTAGTTATTTCTTTAGAGTGTTGGCAAGCATTAATATACTAGCTTGCATGCTGTACAATGTAATAGAAAATAAACAAAAATTCAAGTAAAATTGTACTAGAAAAGAAAAGCGAATTTATTAATAGCGTTTTGAGCATAGCCCATTATAAAGTGAAGCAGGCATTGAGTATCATTCATATGGATTCTTCATATTTTGCGATTTTTGAAACAGATATAAATATTGTTTACTGATTGGTCATTTTCTCATTGGAAAGTCATCAATTGTGCATTTTGTGTTTGTCAAATAACCTTTATATGAAGAGATAAAATGTAGTTAAAATCCTTTCCTTGAATAAGTATCTAGTTTTTTGTTCTTTAAGTCAGTCGTTTTCAGAGATGCTGTTCTGTGCTCAAGCTTCTGATATTTTTGAAAGATTAAGCCACTAGACTCTGGTCAACAAAAACAATTAAACAGTACTGTAATACTAGGTTTTTACCATAGCTGTAGCTCTCTGATATTTTGGAAAAGGAAATTTATTAATTTGGGTATAAAGTAGTTCTCTGATTAAATTATTTGCTAGATTATGCGAAGTTTTCATCAAAAGCTGACTTGCATTTGATCTTGACATCAATGTATCAGCTCGGTAGTTGTTTTTTAAATCCCTTGAATGAGTTAAAGGTGACAATTTTTAATTATGCAAAATTTCTTAATTGACCTTAAACTTTGGTATAGTTTATGTTTTACCAATGTTACTGGGTAACTGTTATTTAAATAGCTGTCAACTTAGATAGCTAAATAAGCAAATAAATTTAATTTTTTTTGCATTATATAAACGTAACTCAAATTATAGACTTTTTAGAAGAAAATTTTGTTTTGAAATCATTTTTTATAAGTAGCTGATGGAATAAAACCTTCCTTGATCAAATCTTTGAATCTTTTCTCAGTCCACCAGCGTCATTGTCATAAAAAGTATTACCTATAATTTCATTAAATGGGGATGATAGTTAGCGCGTTCTTTGCGTCATAGGAACTTTAAATCAATCAGATCAACTAAGCAAACTAGGCCTAATATGTAAGTAATCACAATTTATCTTGCTTTAAATCATTTTGCTGGTCAATGCCCTGTCGTTACGATTATATTGAGCTAAATACAGTTAAAGTCCAAAGACACCAGTTTTTTAATGCCTTCATATCTTAGTTACTTTTGCTCTTTTGGAGTTTATGTTAGCTTCGTTTGCTTTGTTCTGTTTCAATGTAGTAAATATTCATAAAATCTTGCTAAAATGGTAGAAACAAATTATATTTACCTATTTGAAATTAAACTGTAAGTTAAAAATTTAACTGCGTTGATAAGTTGTGTTTGCATGAAAATAAACAAGTGCAGTTAAAACCAATAAAATAAAATAATAAAAATAATATATTTTATGAAATGGTGGTAAATAAAATGTGTTTACCTATTCACAAATATTAGGACAAATTTAACATGACCAGTAGAGGAAAAGGAATTTATCAAGTGGTTAAGTTCTGTTTTAGACAAGCAACTGTGAATAAAGATAAAATTTGGTGACATATTGTTGATATTCGCTTACTGATCATCGGAGGTCCAGCGAGGCTCGTTCCAGTTTTCATACTCAATCATTTTATTGTTCGGGTTGAAATTATTTCCTTACGCATTTTTAATCAAGTTTATTTTCTCAGCAAATTCGTTGGCGGTGATGCTCCCTCTGTAAGTGATGCTAATTCTTTCGATGGACATCATGAGGCGTAAGTGCTGTGAAATTTCATTCAAGTCAAATATTTTTCATTTTTTTAATCAAATTTGTATTTTTTACCTACCTCTCAAGCTTAATAAAGCTCTTTTATCAATTGCAACCAAGTTGAATGATCTTATTGTAATTTATTGTGATTCAATTTGCGTTTATAGTACATGCGCTTCGAAGTTTTAAACAAAAGTTTATGTATTGTTAAAGTTTTAACAACAATAATATCAGACCAATAAAACTGGTGTAATAGTCAAATTATGAAGACTGCTTACTTCTCATAAGAATTGTTTATTGCATATAAATTCTCAGAAAAGGATTTTTAATTTTCTTCTACATCTTGTGTTTATTTAAGATGCTGCACCTTTTTAAACTATTTATCATGTATTGTTAATTTTTTAATAACAGAGATAAAATATCAAAAGCTGGTGTACTAGACATTTTATGAAAGTTTTTACTTCTCAGAAGAATTGTTTATAACATATAAAACTAGCAAGGTAGGAAAAAATTTCAATTTTCCTCTACATCTTGTGTTAATTTCAGAGGCTGCGCCTATTTAAACTATTCATTTTTTTAAGTGACGGTGACGATTACGAAACAGATGAATCCATCGAAGTAAGAGTTTTAAAAGATATTTTGTTGTAACTAAAACTTGAACTCTAAGCTAGGAAATTTATATGCCCAATTTTGGATCGAAACATGCCAATAAGAACGGGAGATCAAAACGGTTCATACATTTCCTAGCTTAGAGTTTGTGATCTATTTTCTGACATTTTATGCTCTGAAGAGTGCTAGACAAGATGCTGAAGCATTTTTCAAAATGTTTAAAGAGCATTTTTAATTTTTAGCTATTGAAAAATTTATAATTATTTGAACAACTTTGAGTGAAAGATATATATCTTGAAAGGTTTACCGTGTCGAGGCATTTGGCGACTTCGCTGGAGAAGAAGTTGGAGACCTTCAGTTCAAGAAGGGAGAAATTTTGACTATCATTACAACTAGGTTTGTGGCATTCAAATTCGACGCACCAAATTTTTTATTAGTAATTTTTTCGTTGCCCGAGGGTTGCGGATATGTTTCTTAATATTTCCTTCTACTTTATATTGAAATTTGTCGAAACAGATTTCGTAAATCTATAGTTGATTTCAAATAAATTTCGTAAATTATCATTGCACTCTATTGTAATAATCATTATACCATAAAGGCTAACCGCATGACAACCTTATTCTAATTAGACACCCTGTTTTGCTAATTTTCTCAAAGACAGTAGTTTTGGCCCTGTTAGCTTAGCATTCAGCCACACCTCTCATCATCTTTTAAAAACGACATTTCATCCTCTTAGCTGTCGATTTCCACGATTTAGCAGGGTATTTCATAATAATCATAGTGTCGCTATCATTTATTCTGGTTTTGCTCACCGGCTTTCCATACCGCAAGGATTTCGTCAACCTTTGCTCACAACTGTTTCCAGCATGCATTGAAACCATTGGTTTTGCTAATCCTCATTATGAGAGAAATATTTATATTTTTAAGGGATGATGGCTGGTGGACAGCAGAGAACAAGGATGGAAAAACAGGGTTGGTTCCAAGCACTCTACTCAAAGTACGTTATTTGCACCTGCGCTCAACTATTTATATTATGATAAAGTAGCCACTGAAAGTCCAAAGCAATATTAATCATAACATTTCTGGCCAAAAGTTTCTAAACATTTGTATTTTTTCCTACCTCAGAAGTTCTATTCCTGTTGTGGTGAATTTTTGTGCCTTTTTTCAAAGGCTTTTCTAAGGCCAATTTGTTGCTAAGCCCATCCCCATACGCACTTGAAGATTGCTGCAAAATTACTTAAAGTGAGATTTGTATCTATGTTGTTGAGAACTTGTGAGTGCCAAGGTTTAAATGCAGATGGTTTGTTACGTATTTAACCCCAGCGATTTTCTTAATTTTGTTTCTGTGTTTTTGTATCCCATTTTACAAGCTGTGTTTGTGGCCTGCTAACTTTAGAAAAAATCCATTGGTCCTACTTAGGAAATTGACAATAGATAGAAATACTTTTATGAAGAACTGAACTGAGTCTTTTGAATACTTGATGTTCTATTAGATTCTAGACGATGAAGAGGATGATAAAGAAGTTGAAAACAAAGACAAGCCTGGGAAAATTGGTAAATGTTTATTTTTTTCAAAGAAACTTGATATTGAAACACCATCCACTTTGACTACTTTTTTAATTCATTTCTCTTTAAAATCATTTTTATAATTATATAATCGAATTTTGTTTTCCATTGAGCGTTCGTATCATCCAACGCTCGCCCTGTTTTGCATGAATTCATACTGAGGAAATAGCGAACGTTCAGTAATTTGGGCTGCACCTTTTAATGTGTATTAAAATTGATAAAATTCTGGTATTGCCTGGGATGAAAGCGACCAATGTAGAGGGCAGCTATGTGCGACTTCCTGCTATCGGTATGGCCATTAGGAATTGTATAATGACAAGGAATTATGCAAAAAATTCAACATAGATAAAAGCAAAAGCATCTAGATAGATATTTTATTTATTTTTGCTGCCCTTTCAGCAAAAAAATTTATTATCATTTTTTATACCGTACGCTATTTTATTTTTTATACCGTACCGTACACTATTGTTGCTGATTCTGATTTAACCCCTCTTTCCCCATTTATTATACAGTCCAGTAATGTAATCTCATCTGTTCTAGTGTCGGAAAAACCTCCTTTACAAAAGAAACGCAGGTAAGAAATCAGTTGTTCTGATATATACTTGACAACATAGAAAGTAAGGCCGTCCTCTCCATTCATAGAGTGCCATCCGAATCCGTTATATTTAGTTACCTGCCAATTTTAGGTAAACTGAATATACAAATTTGACAACAATGCGGCTTAAATAGTCAGCATTCGATTGATTATAACATGATGATTATAACAAACATTACTTATACTGTTCTGCAGTCTTTATCATTAGCAAAGACCAAGCTGGGGTAATCAAATATTCCATCTTGCTGCCTTAAAATATCTCATTTAATAGGTCTTAAAGAAGCTCCTAAGGTGTAAATAGTATCTTTGTCAGCTTTGATACGTAAAAAATTGCGTTTATAGGGGAGCCTCGTAAGGATCTGCTGCTCAAGTGTTACATCTTTGAGTTGTTGGAAAATGATCTTGATTATGACTTCTATGTCGTCAACATGAAAACTATTTATGCAAAAAACGAGAAGAGCTTCAGAGCTTTGGGTGGCGTCTATGTAAGACTTGCCGCGACTGTCGTGTATTGTAATGCAAAATTGTGTGCTCCAGTGTAACGTTTCATTGAAAGCGAAGCGATTAAAACTTTTAAAAATGATATACGAGTCTATTCACATATGCTACGTCTTAAATGTTCAAATAAATTCGAAATTTGTAGAATTTTTACAAAATGTATCGATCTGCTTGGGAATGAAGTCCACGCTACAATTATATCCCTCCCTTCAATCGACTTGATCTATGAAATTAGTATCACATAGACAAGAAAAACAGCAGCAGTCATAAGATAACTACCATGCATTATCAAAGTTAAAAAGTTGGGTGTTTCAGAACGTGGCTCTCGGGTACTGTGTCGCTTGGAAGCGTCAAACAAACATTTCAATTCATTTAGTGAACCATTTATTGAGGAAAGTATCCCTCAAGTCAATTAATTTTTATAAGAGGTCCTCAATTTCCGGTAAAAATGTTTTAAAATAAAGTCATATGAAGATAATATAAAGTGTAACATTATAGTAATCTAAAATATTCAACGTGAAGTTTTGAAATCATCAAGAAAGGATAAAGTAAAATTGTAGGTGAACCATTGACACCCAAAACAGTCGGCTTTAGACCGGTCTTGCCCCACACCAGGGCTCTTTTTCATTTGTACTGCTACACTGAAAAAGGAACTAGAACTGGCCCAGGACAAATCATTAGGCTGTCAGTGGCAATGCGAATGGGAAGTTTGTTGATGATTTTCATAGACATTGCTAAAGCTGACACAGAACGATGGTTTGTCGACATGACTATTCCATACGAAATCATCACCATTGGAAAGACAGGGACGGGATTTAAGAAAAATCTCGGAGATTTTGAAGGCCACGGTCACTACATATACTTATGATAAAAAGGCTTTAAGAACTGTATGAAGGAAAACGCAAGTAAAATGCTTTAAACAAGTTTTGTCTAGCACGAGAGCCAGCTATGCCTTGCTAAAGACGAGCTCAAATTTTAGGTGGTTAGTAGTTCACGAAAGAAAGCTTGGACAATGTTAAGACAACATTTTACATTGAAATATTAGATGTTTATGTCAATGCAAAATAGACAATGGAAAGCTTTTCTCGGCATGCAATTTTATCTTACTCTTGTATCAAATTCTTCGTTTTTTTATTTCATTCATAATTGAAATAAATTAGGGTTTCTCGGGATCTTGCCTGAATATTATTGCTTCCTTGTGATAAAACTGCCCGAATGAGGCCTGAAATGCGAACTGGGTTGCATCCCCCCCTCCCCAGCCCTTATAGCTCCACGCCTGTTTGTTTTTTAGAAGAGCCTGCTCTTTAAATATGCATTCACCTTGCGTTTATCATGACAGCTTATATTATCCAAGTTTTCCCATAACAGTCAGGGTCTTGTTCTCGCATTGCCTTTGTGCGAAACCTCTGTGTCCGCGCAGATGTCCTAAAGCCTGTATATTTTGTATGCAAAAGATTTGTGTACCATTAAGCGGTTTAAAACCCGGCTCAAGCGCTGAAAAAACTTCTCGGTTGGATTTTATAGGTATGCTTGTGTTATGTGTTATAGATTTTGCACACTTTGACGGTTTTAGGACCAAAGATGAAATGTGGGGCTCATGCTAAGGAGTCAACTGTTTTATATGGCCTTTTGACTTTAACTTGCTTTTTTGAAACTTCAAGGTTTAACCATCTGTTGTTAAGTTAGAGCTTTTGAATTTCAGATATTCCATTATCGAAAAGCATCAATTATTGTCTATAATTTGGTTCTCTTCGCCGTTATGAATGTATCTAGCCAATTCAGGCCTTCCATCTATGTTTAAAGTTTTCGAGTAAAAAGTTTCAAATTGTTAAGAGAAGCTATTCTGCGTGGGAACCATTTCTAAGAAATTGCCTAGTATGAAGCTTTTTATCTGGGATTCAATTTGGCGTATCGTAGATTATCTTTTAACCAGAAACAACCCATTGTTTCGGTTGCATGAAAATACAGCTACAGGTGTCTGGGAGAGATCCAGAGCAGGTTCGTATACATAAGTGTTTCAGAAGCTGCAGCTGACCAACATTGTTTACACGTATTGCTCTTTGTGTTGCAAAATGTTTTGCTTTCTCGTCATCCTCTTGCATTACTTCTGTATATTGTAGTAAGATATTGTGAAGATAACTTTTAATGCTTTGGTAGTCGATTCATTCGCATTATCCTTAAAAATCCAACAAAAACGCTTAAAAATTGAAAATTATAGTAAGACTAATGGCAAATGTAAACTTCTTCCATCATGACAATAATTTGGGAGTTTACGAATCACTCCTATGTTAACTTTTTTGCCGAAAAGCATTTTTGTGCATTTTGAAAATAGATTCAATTGTAGCATTCATGTCAAAATTTGATTGGAATTTTATCAAAACTTTTGTTGCTGCTGCAAGAAAATGGCCAAATCTGTGGAAGATTGCCTGTTAACAGTATCATATTGCTTACTAATTCCCAATACAGATTCTCTTTTAAGAACTTATAAGAAAAGTTGTGTCCTTCCTCTGTCTTCATCTGTCTTGTGCTCAAAGCAGCTTTGTAGTTTTTTGTAGCTTCCAAAAAGGTTTGAAGCGGGGTCATCAAGTCAGTTTCCTCAGCCACAATTTAGGTGAATACTAATCACATCTTTGTTGATAAAGTCCGTGCTCGCTCCTGGGGTTTCATCATTGTTTTTCTCTATGTAAGCTAATCAGCTCTTATTCCAAGCGATAAATTTGCTTATCAGAGCTTTTTGCATTTTTTAGCGGCAAAGATTTGTGGCAGTCATTAAGGATGTCAAAAGCCGAGGTTTGTATTAATTTTTTCTTAATTTGTACTGCAACTGTTTTGATTTTCACAAATCAACCTGCTGATCATCAACTATAACATGAAAATATTGGAAGGCTCAGCAGCTTGTACAGCTGTTCGTTTTCACTCCACTTCCTCCAACGATCTTCTACGTTTTGTGTTCGCTTCGAAAAATTAAGCAAGCATCTCAGTTTTGTGTACATTAATTACGTTAGGCAAGAAAGCAGCATTCGTGAGAAACCACCAACTGGCACTTTTTATTTCTGTATACTGTAGATAAATACCCAGCGTGCAGTGGAATGGTTTATTTCAGTGCAGAACATTAAATGCTGAAATGCAGAAGAGCAAATAAAATGAACATTGAAAATGTCAAATGACTGTTTCTGTTTTAAATTACAATTTGAGTCATGATAACCAGGCAAGAAACAATAAGGTCACCGATGCTTGATAATGACTTATTGAAATGCTGTGAATGCTACCTTGTGTGGTCGACGCTGTCATTTAAGACATGGCGAAAACAGTAAAAAGAACCAAAGTGATAGAACGGCTTGATGATGCAATGCCATTATCTCTGTGATTTCTTGGGGGTAAATCCTGAATGAGCCAGCTTCAAAATTGGTGGCTGGGCCCGAAGTTGGCTTTCTTGTTAAGAAGTTGACCCATAAGGGGCTATCTTAGACAACCGAGCAAGTTCTTTTCGAATTTCAAAATTAACGCATTTGATGGCGATGGCTAATCAACCATTAAATAGCGATAGAAAATACCTTTAAAGAATGATTATTGTAAATAGAGTAAGCAGTAGGCAACATTGCTTCGAAAGCAATGCGGAGGAGCCTTTCGCCAGAAACCTATGCTTGGATAAAATGGTTAAGCCGTTAGCTGAAAAACGTTGAAGTGACTCTTTTGAAAAATGTATTCTCTTTTAAGAAAGTCGTTTTTCATCTATTGGGTCGATTTTTTTCAATGCTCCCTGTTTTGCTCACCCTTTGTATATCCTCGTTGTGAATGCATCTTTTCATTTATTTGTCTTCTGTGATAATGCAACTTTCTTTGATTAACTTTTCTGATGCCTGCTTGAAACATGCAACCTAATTTTCAAATTACTCAAATGTGCTGCCAAATGTTTTTGTTTGGTATGCGTATCCCATTAATTTCGCCTTGCTCTTTCTTTTCTCCTTGGAAAGAACGACAACTTTGTTATCTCAACCAAGTTTACCGCCCGCAATCTACCCCTGTTAAAACTTTATTTAGAAATATAGACTCTCAGGCATAACTTTTACAGTTTCTATAAGCTTTAATTTGGCCTTTTTTTATTTCTTCGAGATAACATAGGATTTACACCTACATCAACTACGGATTAATTTTCTTTAAACTCTCCGAACCATATTTTCGTTTGCTTGGAAATTCATACTTTCCATTCACTGCTAAGCAAATGTTGATACATGCAAACTATAGGCAATTTATTTACCAGAGTTGGTTGTTTGAAGCAAACAAGCCTTTTCTGTTGTTGTGTTAGAATTATCCAGGTTTGGCCAGGCAGATATTCGTTGTCAAGTTGGAAGGGTCAGCTGTAATAACGAGGCATATAGCATAAAAAGTCGTTACAGTTCATGTGAATAGTTCAGCAGTTAATGCCAATTTTACTGATAGCAGTAAATACTAAGTTTATTTCGTTGCAAGGTTGGATCTACTATGAACTCATTTTATACCACTTTCCCATTGTCTTTTTTATTAGCAGGTTAACATAGATCGTGTCATTAATGTGAATGATTTGTCTCATTGTGTTTTTTTATGATTCAAAATTACATTGAAGATAGCAATCAAAGTATTTTGTTTTATACTGTTAGATAACACATTAAAACAGTCCATTGAAATGCGTGTCACTTTGAAGGCTAATTTTGTGGAGCCATTTACATTTCTCTGAAGCATATTGCTGATAACATCTCTTTCTTTTGATGCAGACGACTGTAAATGACGTGCTAAAAGCGATGAAGGCTGTTCCTTCTGGTTTTCGCTCATCGACACTTGGTATCATGCTAAAGCAAGGTGATCTTTGTTGTGCTAAATTTCTCTATAAATGATTCTGCATTTTTCGTGCATCCATGGATCATATCACTGTCTTAGAAGTTTTTTACAACGTGTTAGCTTTACACTTGAACTTTCATTTCAAACACAATCCCTCAGTTCATAGGTGGATATAGGCAGATGTATACAGAAGAAAGTCCTGGATAATTTACTGATTATTTTCGTTTATGTGGCTTTATAGTTGTTCTGCTACAAAGTGTTCATACAACCTAGAAAGTTGTATTAAGTGTTGTACAAGAATTTGACGGGCACAGTTTCTTGCAGATTTTATGACAGCTTAAGAAAGTTGATTTCCATCAACCACATACCTGTGGATGTCGGCTAGGGTAGACAAACTCGAGCAAGAACCATACCTGAGGGGGGCAGGATTTAAAACAAGAGAGCAGATATATAACAAACAGATATATTTTGACTAAATCCAGCTCACGGAATTATAATTATGCCAGCTTTTCAAAATATCATTTGGAAAAAATGTAGCCAGAGGGGGCAATTGTTGTCAAAATTTTCATTTGGGGGGCACAGCCCCCCGTGCCCCCATGCAGCTACGTGGCTGATTTCCATGTTTAGTGTTTCTCAACCCCTTACATTGTTGTTCATTGTTGTCGATTCTACGCAGGGTGTATTTTGATGTTGAACTGTACAATGATCTATGAAATCTAGTTTTCCACCTACTTTATCTAAACTGGATGTATTTTTACATTTTATACGCTAATTAAAGGCATTGGACTTCATTCCTTCCGTAAGTTCTTATCAAGCTCGCCTTTTTTAGAGGAACACAAGACAAGCTTTTGGTTGACACCGAAACTCAGCTCTTCAAATCTTTCATTTCGTGACTTGTTTTGGGACCCTGTCAATAAAAAGGCAAGTGAACGTTTAAAAAACGTGTATTTTGTGCCATGCAATATCTACTTCTAAATTATTTTTTTAACAAACTCATTGAATCTTATTCGCTCCATGGAAGCAATTATGTGCTATCATTGTTATATCTATTCTACCACATTGATTCAACAAACGTTTTTCATTTATATCCTAACAATTTTGTTCTCTTAATTTTGTTGTCGCATCTTTTTCTAATATTCTACTCTTTCTCTTTCTTCGCTTCGTGCATCACGTTCTTGTCTGCATTCAACTTATCGCCTGTTTTCCTGTATCATTATTTTTACTACTCGGCACCTTACCACATCCTACTTCGTTATTATTGTTAATCATAATCATAATTGTTTTTAAAATGATCATGGTTGTGTCGTATTCGATTGATTCAGATTATGTTTGTTATTTTTTGTGAACATCTTCGACGTAGAAATTACAAACAATATATGTTTGATGGATGTTTTTTGCTCCTCTGTTTACTGCCAAAATCTCGTGCTTAGCAGGTGCATCTAACCGTTTCTAGAACGTTTTTGCATTTAGCTGTGTGTTCATTCAATCTAGACACTAAAAGCTTCTTCGCAAATTGATTTATTCTCTGCGCTATATGCTCTTTATTCACTCACAGACGATTCAGTTTAATCAAGTTCAACCGTTAGATAAGATTAGTTTGCGACTAAGAAAGCAGCTTTGTTATGAGAATGGCTACATTCCTCTTGACATTTTTCCTTGAATGTTAAGTGGAAGCTGATGCTCCTTTTATTCATAGCTAAGTTCAATTCGTGCTGGGTTTCTGCTCGTTTTCTTTGCCGGTAATTGCACGATAATTCATGCTGTCGATCGAACTCAAACTCAGCCACTTTTTACATGAAACCTTTCATACAAACGAGAGTAACATCACTCATCATTGAATAAGCTTTTTGCAACTGGCTTTCCTTTTAGCTGCGGCCTAGAGCTGTCAAGTTAACTAGGACCTTCAGTCTTATGGGGGCAAAGTTTATACCATTGCCTGGAGCAGGTCAGTACTTTTGCCATTTTTTTTGGTTTAGAAGCGATTTTTTAAGAATATAAGAATTTCTTGAACCTATAAGTGACCAATATGTGTGGCTCTCAGCCAACCTTTTGCTCAAAACCTTTTAATCATTGTGCTCGTATCACCAGGGTACTCATATGTTAGATGCAATTTTTATTGCTGAAGAATCATGCGAAAAAAGCAGAGCTTTAGCTCGTCATATCTTAAGATAATTTTTTTTACTGTTTTTTATACAGAGTATGATCCTTTTTGCGTATTCTAGGCCATACCTAACCGACTTTTGAAATATATCTATGCTTGGTCGTTTTTAAGAACAGAATACTTACATGAAAGCTAGATAATAGCCGATACTAGCCACAGGTTGCGGTTAGAATAGAGCAGCCAAAATTTGACTGAAAACTATTATTCACTATCATTTGCTTATCTTACAGATATATTAGAAACTCTTCGATCACATATTTTTCGCATTGCAGGCTTAGAAGTGAAAAGTAGACACGTTCGAATTTCTTTTTGGGATGGTAAAAATGTGAGTATACATTATGACTGGTGTTACTTTTATAAAGTAAACATGATTCGAAATGAACAAACTGAAGTTGCCTAACTGTACAATCGACATGATGTCACCTCATGCCTAACTGTATTCATGATGTCACCTCATGCCTTAAACTTTACAATAAGCAATAGAAACCAAAAGGTTGTTCATTTGAAACAAAAGCACTACTGATGCAATTTTTTGATTAAATACTGTATGCTCTATGTTTTTGCAAATCTAATTAAAGTGTAGCTATTTATTAGCTTGGCCCATTATTATATTGAATATCGTTATTACTTGATGTGATTATGGCTCATTTATTGTTGTTTTAAGCACACTGACCTGGTTTACTCTTCCTAAAGGTTTATGGCAATATACACACTGTCAGGGCTATTGCCGTAGAGAAGGATGAGCAAAGCTGGTCCTTTACTCCACGGGTACGTATTAAGAGTCTTGGATGCAAGAAGCATAATCTTAAATATGTCTTCATTTGTAATATTTTACATATGTTTGCATACATGATTGTACTTGCTGTACGATTCTAGAGCAAAACAAGTCTGAGTCTACCTAGGAAATGATATCTTTTATTGTTTCTGAAAGGAACTTTCCTTGCCCTTTCTCTTGTGTATTGCTCCCAAAGATTTTAGGCCATTTTCTTTCGCACGAATTTATCGCGATGGACAATAGTTGTTCTTATGTACGGGAGATAGTAAGATTCCGTATCAATATTAGCAAGAAGTATTTATTGGAGCAATATACGAATCTGTTTTCATAAGCAAGGACTAAAATGCAATCTAAACTTGGCAAATTTCTAATAAAATTTTAACTGGGGTATTGAAAACTTTGTGAACGCTTCAATGCAGTCCATCACCATCTAAATCTTCCTTTTTACCTTTCCTGTTTAATATCAGCAGCATCAATAACAGCAACAGCAATCATAATTTTATTGTAAAACAACACATTTATATTCTTATTGTATATATGTACGAAGATATATGTATAAGATATTTCTGAGATGCTATTTTATTGTTCCTAAAGCAAGTTGGTTTGAAAAGCCATTAGTACAACATTAATACTGTATAATTTAGTACAACATCAATACTATTATAATTTGGTCAAGAGGGTTACTAGATTTTCGTTTCAATCAGATGCTATCAAAGATTAAATACCCGTTTTAGCAGGAATGAATGCGACACATCTGCGCTCGCGTCATAGTTTTTAGCGAGGATAGTACACTTACCAATCTCAACCCGATTACGACGTAACAACATTGAAAGTCTGTTTCTGCTTTATTATGAACACATTATATTCCAACACATATATTTATATTTTTTGCAGCTGTCCGTATTCTTACCAAGTTTATATGATGGGGAATGCATTGCAAGAATAAATTCAGCAACTGAGAACTTAGGTATGTCTTCAATCGGCAGGCTTTTTTTCCTTAACGCAACCCTCATCTAGCGATTATTTCTGGAATGCAAATGAATTCCATTTAACTTATTTGAGTGTTTCTTTACTTCAAATGATTCATGCTAGAGCTTGTGATGTGGTCTTCCGAGATCTTTCTTTGCTTTTCCAAACAATTTTTATAGGGATGGGGCCGCCTTATAGCTTGTTTTCTGATGGAATAGTCTTTAAAGCTAGAAATCCTTCTTCGAATACCCTCAACCTCCGTGGCGTAACTATTAATATTGGAATATTTTTAATAGGGGAAATTGGAGGAAAGGGGGTGTCTTTAGTTAATGTTTAAAGTCGCTAGCTCATTTTCAAAGCATTTTAACTTTACAAATCTCCACCTTTTAAGTAACTAAGCATTCTGCAAGTCTATGTTGACTACAAAAAAATTGTGAAAATGCTTGGTTTTGATAAATTTTTAACTTATTTGTTGAATATGCAATTGATAAGGGGGGGATTGGGGGCGAATGGCTTACTGACGTATATAAATTGGCTTGTTTGAAGGCCTATACGACAGTATACTTTGCCTCCCGGTTTGGAAAACAGTTCGAGGAATTTTGGCAGTTGATATTTTCTTTCACAGCGTCTAACCTAAGCTCTAGTATAAGAATGAACAATTATATCGGTCTAGTATTTTTAAAATTTTGTACTTGTTATACTTAAATTATTTCTGAAATTATGATTTTTTTTTCAGCCCTGCTTTTCGAGCTGAACTATTCATACGTGCGAACGGTTAGTTCTTTCTTTTTGAGTCTTTAAGCTTCCTACGCTTTTTAGTTCTTTCTTCTTCATAACTTCCAACATTTAATTTTTGCAGTTTTACTTCTAACTTTTAACTTTACTTCTAACTTGTAAATTTGACTTTTTTATGTTTTTTAGATGAGTAATATATTTTTTCACTTAACATTGAAAGCAAGCTTTGGTGTAAATTGATTTAACGAAAGCGACCAAAGATCTGTCAACTCAAAATGCGTTTTAGTGCAGTCTAAAAAACGCTGACGTTTTTTAACTTAGATAGATGGTTTTTACTCGCAATAGACTTCTCTGTTACCTTAAGTTTTTATTTGATATCATAAGATAAAAATATTATTCTAAGTATCTCATGGTCTTTTCTAAATATCATTAGATTCTTCTGAATACTATCAGACTTTCGTAATGTTTTCTCAAAATCCTATGATTTTTCTCATTAAAGTAAGAGCTTAACATTGCAAAATGTTGCTTAATATCCTGAATGTTTTAGCACTAACCTGAAAAGCAGTTTCTTTTCCTGCATTCTTCAGACAACAGAAGACAAAGGAGAACTCAGCGCGGGATGGTGCACACTTCCTCTTTTTGAAAAGGATGGGACACCGATTGTTAACAAGTAAGTTAATCTTATCATACACACTTTTAAATTAATCTTAATTTTTGTTGGGCTCCAATATTGAAAGAAATTGTGATTCTAAGCCTTGAATTCTAGAATTCTCAATCTTTGATTTTGACCTTCTTCTCATGAAAACATTATTTGTAGAAAACGAAACATACCAGCACACCAGAAACAAGCTTGTAGGGTGTTCCTCAATTTTCTTTTGAAAGTCACGCCCGTTTTGTCTGCCCAAAAAGTTTATTATAGTCAAATTATCAATAAATATCTATCCTTGCTCAATCAATTCACAAATTTTACCAATTTCGAGTCTGTTATGTGAATATTGATATATATTTAAACGAATTTTATATTCTTATATAAACTCTTATCTTATAAAAATGTATATCATTTATAACATATTCGATGTTTCGCGTCAGGTCATGTTGAATCATATCAGAAGATATCAATATTTTAGAATCTGGTACAAAATTGTGGCAATTTAAATGTAAAACAGGTCATATCATTTAAATGTAAAACAGGTCATATCATTACGTAGCTATGCTATAGGATTTTCTATTGTATTCACTACCAGTGTAGAATCTTTTAAATTATGCTCTTTTACTGTGTGTTACCTTACATGTATATCGTTTATGAAGTATCGTTTACTCATAGAAACTACGAATTGGCATTACATGGTGGAACACCTTTTGAAAAAGGGGTTGATGTGGACGCTGCTTTGAGTTTAAAAAGTAAGTATTTTTGTACCTCGAGGATTTGAGCTTGGTAATTTTTAAATGAGATATTTATTTATAAGTTATGCATGTGCTACAAATCTATTGCAGTTGAAATAAATTCAATTGATTTCTGGTGTGTTGATAGGCTGTCGCGGATACTTTTGGCACCTCGAAGTTGCTCATTATTTTACTTCTCTATGTATTGATACATTGGTTCTCGAATTATTTAAAAATCTTGTTTCACTTTATGTGAATTAGGTAAATGCAACAATTTTTGCGTATGAAGTTTATGTCAAAAAGCAATTAGAAACTAGTTACGACTTTTTCCATGTCCGTTTTTTGTCGGCAAGATTAACTAGCAATGTTTTTATTATTAAGTATGCAGTATCAACTCTTGAGTTCCATCACATTTTTCTTCACTTTCAGCAAGCCAGTCATTATTTCAATCACTTATACGAACAAATAGACAGCCACGACTTATTGTCAAACTAACACCAATAAACAGAGTAGAGAAGGCCCAGTTTGAGTAAGTATACTTTATTTTCGTTTAAGGGAAACTTGCTTAGCTCTAAGATAAGCTTTTGGCGAACTTTACTATCTTGACTATTAATTTCTTAGATTTCAACAATTTGTTATTTTTTCATGAGAAATTCCCAATGTTTAAGAAGCAGCACTTTACTTTGCATTGTCATTCATATGAATTTAATTTGATAATGAGAATCAAACTTTTTATACTTTTTGCAGTTTGCTGCCAGATCTGTTGATTACCTGTGAAAGACACATTAAGTTCATAGTGTTGTACAGAGAGCTGCTTGCAAATACGTACTTGAAAGATGGAGAACCAAGTGGCGGTAGGTCTACGTGAAATTTTGGCTGAATTCGTTGACATTAGCGGTCATTGATGCTTGTACTTCTGTTTGAATTTCTGTTCGATTAGTGTGTTTTGTCATCGTTTTTCTTCAAAGTAATGCAAGGAATGGCCTCTTAATTGTTTGTGCTTTTTTGAGGTTGGGGGGGGGAGGTTCGTTAGAAGGCCGAAGGGATGTTTAAAGAGAGAGCATTTTTATACTTACACTTAGAAATACCAATAGCCTAGCTTTTTGGACTGACGAGAACATTATGCAAATTGCAGCAAATCTGGAAAAACAGCTTTTGAAACGAACTTTTTTCTCCATTTCCATTCAAATCTATGAAAAGTCTGTAACGAAACTTACCTGTTTAAAATACACCGAAAAAACTTATTCGCGAATTTCAGTTACCGAGTGTTTTCTTTATTGTCTCTATATGTTTAATAACTTTACAGTTTCAAAGTGGGGGGGGGGGTGTGTTTTCCACGTAGGCCATCGAGAGAGAGAGACCTTTTTACAGTTTAACATTATAAAGAGGCCATTCAAAAATGGACCGTTTGCTCGAAGTGATCTGTTACTTTCTCTGGTATCAGTTGCTAAATGCAGCTAGAATTCCTTCTAAAGCTATTTTTGATGAAAACTTCAAAACTAATTTGGAGACTGGCATTGGTGATTCCATTTGATGATAAATGTCCTGTATAGCTTTTGAGGATCTTTTAGGCTTTTATCTGTAGAAATATTTAAGTAAATGCTGTAGGTATCATTGCATTGCTTTTCCAACGAGTTCATTATTTTAACACTGAATCTAGTTATAGCTTTGTTTTTGTATTCTCCTCTGACAATGCAGGTCAAATATGCCTCAAGAACCCGAGTTGATAATACTAATCTTTAACCAAATTTAACAATTTACCAATCAACCAATTTTGTTTCAAAACTTAACCAAATTTTGCTTCGAAACTTTTTTTCTGCCTGTTTTTATTTTAATAAATGCTGAAATGTATTAAATAATTAGTATTTTGATAAAAGTTTAGCCTTCATGATTTTATCAGTTGTGTTGCGATGTGTCGTGATTGTATTTTACTTCTACCGTTTCAGAATACATTTGTGACCCGATTATGGCGAATATTTGCAAAGCATTCGATTTCTCTGATCTGATCGACGCCCTTCAGGTAGAGTATCGCAGTGGTTCTCTCTTGTTCGCATCAAACAAAGACAATATTGTGAATCTCCCTTGCTCTGATTGTGCCAACCTTCTCAACGGATATGATGATGAAAGAAATTCTCTGGCCTAAACGTGTTAAATTAATAATCGACCTTTGTTTTAAATATAGACATTTAGAATTAATGCTTTCCATCTGACTTTGTTGATGTAAACAACCTTTGAATGTTAATAATGATATTGATTCAACATCTATATTTTTTCAGATGATTTGGAATGAAAGAAGTAAAGTAAATCTATCTCGATCTCAAAAGGTATGATAGTTAAAAATCGCAAATGTTCAGCTTAATCATCATCAGGTACCATCTTCTATCAGAAGGTTGGCTACCATGACCCTCCAACTATCCCAAAATCTGAGTTTTGGTTTGTTGTCATGGTCATAGATAAAACCATTAAAACCATTTCAGCTTAATACCATTTTTTATTTGCATGATAGGAAATTGAAGACTTGTATTCTTTGTTTTTAGAAAATGACCCTAACGCAACCTCTTAGCTCAACTGTTTTTATGTGTTGTGTTGCGTTATATAATTTTCAACGAAATTGCATCGGTTCCACTGTTGATTGTCCATTGTTAAATTCTTTGGAAATAACTTTTTTGACAAAGGAATCTTACAAATTTTCCGAATTTCTGAGTGCCTATCAGTTTCTCAGATAACCAATAAGATGTAGACCGTGATAGTGCCATTTGTGTAAATAAAATTGCACCAGTTACCTCTCATTTCAGCTGTCCAAAAATTAATTACTTCTGGATAGTATGTCGGTATAAACACTACGATAACTTGTGCTGTAAAGCTTTTTCTATTACTCTGCTAGGTTTAAGCTTCATACGCATTTTGTTTTCAGAGAGATCAAGCACATATGCTGAAGTTTTTCAGGCAGTGTTTCATCGAAAGTACCTTTTCAATCATGAACAATGTGAAATTTCCGCCGTACATTTGGGCAAATGAGACAGCAGAACAGGTATTTTTGACTTTGAAAATGAATCATAAGTTAGATTCTCGTGATTACTATCTGTCACGTCCCATGCTTTTGGGTGAAATTCTATCGAATGGTTCTTTCTTGTGGCGTTCAAAAGGCATCCAGAACAAACAGTGTGCTAAGCCATAAATATTTATAAATTGCCTTATGTATTGAGCTTCGGGGTTTTAGCTTTGCATTTATTTATGTCGTGCATGTCTACTTTTATTTTATATCCCAAAGCCTGCCTATAGAAGAACTATAGCGACTAAATAATGCCGAACTGCTAGAAGGAGTATTTCGTTTTTTGTGGAACCTGAGTTTTTTATTCTTCGATGATAGAAATGAAACAAGAATGAAAAGAGAAAATGAGAAATAACAATTGAAAAATTTGAAATTGTTTATGGATATGATCATTCTTCGGTTTTGCAAATCCTGATAGTAGAGTGGCCTGCAAGCTAGTTTTATGAGTTGTGTAACATAAAAGCCACAACTTTGTGTTATTTTTACAGGAGAGAGTCAAATTCATTACATCATATCTTGCCGAGAAGAACTCACTTGCCCTGATGTTTGCGCCATCTTCTACCTTCAAACCTTTTAATACTCGCAAAGTTTCTTTCGATGTTTTGTCAAATAAGTCTTTATTGAATTCTGAAAGTAGCTGACATCGTACTTCACAGCCTCATAACTGTGCTATGATATGAATGATTTCAGGAGTATTTTTGGAGGTGTATTATTATCAATAATAACAGAGTATTCTAACCACTTGTCTTCGAGTTAAGAATTACTATTTTACGGCAGAAGTAGGTACGGTTTACAGTTAAATTGGTAGTTTTTAGCGGTAGTGTCTTCACTTGGCGTTTTTAGTGATACTCCCCCCCCCCCTGTTTCAACGGATACATAGTACTTGCCAATCCGGCTTCTACAACTTCCTAACTACACAAATGAATCAATTATTTTCCAAAAACAGCATTTTTATAGACCCATCAAGGCAACAGAGACAAGTAAAGAGCTGACTTTACCTAATTGTTCTAAGGTTCAGCCGTAATTAAGTAGATGTTTGTATTTATTATATGCATTAAATTTCCAGAAATTAATGCTGGTCCGTAGTTCCATGTATGTAAGGCCCGAACTATTTTGTATGAATTTGTTTAAACTTTCGTGTGTATTAGGTCTGTAGGTATCAAAGTTTGAAAGGGTGTAAATATTCTTCTTGCATGGTATTATATTTGTAAAGTATTTGAAATTTATGTTCTCTGTTTTCCAATTACCTATTACAATGAGTGAACCAACTTGCAAATAAGAAAGTTTCTAATAGACTTTAATTCCTTCAGTAGATCGATTCGTTGTTCAAGTTGGAATGGCCAGCCCATTTAGTATAAACGGATTCAAATCACCAATTTTATGAGATTCAATGTTGTACTGTTAACCTTATTGTTGCAGTGGTCACGTTGTATTGCTAAAGAATGTAACCAAAGACTAAAATCGCTCGCCACCATTTTGGTTCTAACACTGTGCATACTGCAATAAAAACTTTTCCTTTGAAAAAATCATTATTTCGCAAAACTGACTCTGTTACGCTTACTGTTTATTGACTGTTGCTGGTAACATTTTTCCAGGGGTGGGGGGGGGGAGTTGATTGTTTAGGCACACTTTGGAATGTAACTAGCACAAGCAGTTATGTGCCCTTAGCTAATTAGATTTTGTTCCCGTCCTTTAGATCCTGTGGTTCTTACGCAAATTTGGAATTGAAATAGGAAAACACAAGCAAATTTCTAAATATTTCTTTTGTTTGCAAAAACTTGCCAATGAATATTGAACTATAGTTTCTGCCACTCAACCACTCCTATCGACTTGACGAAATTATTTAAATATCTTCTGTGGGAGAAATGTATTCATTCGATATTCATGTTATGTTCTGTAAATTAATGTCATATTAATTGTGGAGTTCAACACGAATGTAAAGTTGAACCCCTCAAGCAGGGACGTGAAAATTGCACCAACAATTTTGGACTCAACAACAACAACAACTCAATCGATATTTCTATCAGCAGAACGGGAAAGGCGACCACTTGACAACGCAGATAAAATAAAAGAGGAAAATTGTTGCTGTCCACGACTTTCGGTAGTTCCAATGGTAAGTAACATCTTTCTCTACAAGCTGAGTATTATTCAAACCAAATTTGTTTTATATACGCTAGAACATGTGTATTATCCCGTTTTAGATAGGCAAAGTTACCGAATTAGGCCCACAAGATGATCTTGTTATCTACCTTTTGCATACAGTATAAGTAAACGTGCTTGCTATTCTCCACCATCAGTTTCATTTGCTGCATTGTATTTTGAATGATTTGCTTGCATATAGAATAACATATAATGTCAAAGACAACAAATCATGAGTGATATAGATTCCAAAGCTTGGACCAATTGAATTCAAAGGAGAAGCATTTCATAAACTAGCACCAAGGATCTTAGAACTGCCTTTTACCTTGACCTTTCAAAAAAGAAATAGCAGATGGAAATAACAGAAAAGCATAATATTTTTTTGCATAATTATCAGAAATTTAAATTTATTGTGAGGTGCAAATGAAGACATTTGAGGCTCCAAGTCTGAATTAGTAAACCTGTATTTTACTGTGAGTGAGTGCAGGGTTTGCAAGCTATTGGCTAGGGTTTTTGATAAGAGCCTTAACCTTGATTTAGTAGTTTTGCACTAGCTCTTAAGATCCTTCATAGATTCTATACAGAATTTTGATTTTATATTTAATGCTACATATTTTTTCAGGCTGGTGATTTTCTAAAAGGTTTGCCATCTTTCAATAAAGAAAACTTTTCTCGTTTTCATGCAGATGGAGTTCAATCTAAATCCACAGTATGTTGTTATTTGATTTTAGTTTAAATTGGTGAAGATTTCTTTCAAGGGCATTAGTATGACAAAATTTGAAAGTTTTCTGTGTTTTGTTGGTGTCCACTTTCTATTGACCAATGTGCTTTGTTATGATAAAGAAGTTTATAATTTTGAAGCACAATTTTTTCTATTTCATTACGATTAGGTTATTTCCACTGGCATTGGTGTTTTATATGGTGTTGCTACCACTTTGGATATAACTTCTGCTTTTTGAGGTATTTTAGCAGACCAAAACTTTGCCCAAAACAGAATTATTAAATATTGTGTTTGAGCACCCTTTAAGCCCTTAATATGCCATCACTGTTAGCTGGACACAAGTTATAAGAATGACTAAGGTTTTTCTTTTCAATAGCACATTTTCATTGAAATGGGATATACATACCTAGTAAGTCTTTTTGCCAAGGAAATTTGTCAAAAATTGGTCAAGATGCAAAGAAAAGTTGCCCTTCAAAATGTAACAATTTGTAATTTAAGATTATGAAATGCAAATATTAGAGTCTTTTTGCACTTTACATTTCCTCATTTTATACCTTTTTGTGAATTTTGATTTTCTTTGCAGTCAAAAAGGCCCTCGGTATATATACAATTTACAGAAGAACAAAATATTAAGCCTCAAGGTATTATTTCCTTGATTTCTTAAAGCTTTTTACTTCATAATTGAGTTCATCAGGAAATTTATCATTTCAAATCAACCTGCTTTGCGAGCATGATTTATTCGACTTCATCAATGGGTATGTTTTTGGCTGGCAAATATTTTTGGAGCCTACTTTTTCTGTGTTACATTTTCAAGAGTTTTAAACTCAAGATGACAAATTCAATGCAAAATAGAAGAGTTTGTAGTTACAAGTAACAATTTCCACCTGCATGTTTATTGGATATAGATTTGCACCATTCCATTTGACATTCTAGCCCTGTATAAATATATCTATTTGATTTTAAACCATATTTCTTTGCTCCTTAGTTATTATTACAGACAAAACAAATATACTCCTGAGATATCTTCGAAAACAGTCTGATGTTAAGGTATTTGCATTGTCTAATATCTATAAAACTTTATTGGCACTTTGGGGATCGACTCTATTGTATGCTTAAATATATTTCTATTTCCAAAGACATTCCTGCTGACTTGTTCTAGTCTGATGATTCATTTTGAATCAAAGTATTGTTCTTTATTGCCTTTAAAAAGCTTAATGCCCATTTATGCAAATAGAGAAAAACATGTTATGACATGTATTTTGCATGCATGTACTAGAGCTGCACTACATGCTTTATGAAAAATTTAGACTTCTTCAGCAGTTTTTTAAAGAACAGATCTTAGAATAGCTGAGTGCTTAAATAATTAGTAGATTGAATTCTAACCATTTTGATTCCTTAAAAATAGCTTAGTCATTCAAAGATTGTTTTCGACATTGTGTTTAATGTTTGAAAACAGCTACCATATCACTCAAGCTCAAAAGGCCCTTCACAGGACAGCAATCATTTTAGACATGAGTTGCCAATACTGGCCAGATATTCAAATTTGATATCTGGATTGAGTATAAGTGAAATCATCTCTTGGCAAACCTTTAAAACACAAGAAAACCTGGCAAAACCTATGAGTTCTAAGATATGTACTGTGCTGTTTCATATGAATATGCTTTGTATATTTGTGTCAAACATGATATTAAGTAGTCCTTAGCATGTATTATCTAGAAAAACAAAGTCCATATCGGACCGGAAAACTGTTACAGAAACCCCATTTGTTGCAGATATTGTGTCATTTGCAAAACTTGACATTTTTAACCTCTTTTAACCAAATTTGCAAATGAAAAGTTATTGAAACTACCACATTTAGCTCTTGTAGCTATGTGTCAGAACCCTTAACTTTTCATTGGTTTTTCATAGCCTTTGTTGATAAGACAGTAAATGTAAAATCATAGCATGCTGTGAATATAAAGAAATAACTGAATTAGAGCAATTGCTCATTGTTATAGCAATTATAGAAGTTTATGTAGTTGGATGACAAAATAAATATAAATGTGTTGCTCATTTCAGAATTTGCAACAGAAGCGAAATTTAAGCTCTACAGACAATGCTAGTCCATCAAGAAAGGTCCCGAGACTGGGAGCTGCAAGTAACGATGATAAATCCACAGAGAATGACTGACACTTTCTCATTGACTTTAAATTATTAGCTTTAGTAAGTAGATTTTGATTTTTTTGTTATTGTTCACAGTAATTCTTTTCTCATAATATTAAGTGTGGCTTCACTTGAATCTGCTTTGTCTCTCAATGTTTTTAACACAGTTACGGATCTTTGTCTGTGACCTTGCCATTAAATGAGTACTCAAAGGAATCTTTCACAGAGAATACTCAAAGAAAACTCAAATATATTCAGGTTGGTCAGGTATTTATTTTTGTACTCTGGTTAGTTGTAGAATAAGTATCCCTCTTGCAAGCTTCCATCAATATTTATCAAGTTATCAGGTACTTGGCTATATAAATGTATAAAAGTATACTAGTTTTGACAAATATGTTAGGTAGTGACAGAGATTTATCATTTACCTTAACCTTAGTATCCTTTAGACAACGAAAAACAGGATAAAAATCCTAAATTTTTTGCAGTAAACTTCCGACAATTTCTGTAAGCCTATAGCCTTACTTTTTGTTCAAACTTTTGCGAATAGAAAATGGTCTTTTTTGACAAATATATTAGTCAGAAACAGAGATTTGTCGTTTCCCTGAACCTTAATGTCCTATAGGCGACGAAAAACGACATAAACAAACATAATTTCTGCAGTAAATTTTCAACTATTTTTGTAAGCCTATAGCCTTACTTTTTGACCAAATTTTTGCTGATAGAAAATAGTGTTTTTTTGACAAGTATATTAGATAGAGACAAAGATTTATCGTTTACCTTAACCTTAGTGTCCTATAGGCAACGAAAAACTACAGAAAAAAATTTAATTTCTTCCAGTAAATTTTCGACCATTTTTCTAAGCCTATAGCCTTACTTTTTGACCAAATTTTTGCTGATAGAAAATGGTGTTTTTTTGACAAATACATAAGACAGAGACCATGATTTATCGTTTGCCTTAACCTTAGTTTCCTAAAGGCAACGAAAAACTACAGAAAAATATTTAATTTCTTCCAGTAAATTTCCGACAATTTTTGTAAGCCTATAGCCTTACTTTTTGATCAAATTTTTCCTGGTAGAAAATGGTGTTTTTTTGACAAATATATTAGTTAGAGACCATGATTTATCGTTTACCTTCACCTTACTGTCCTATAGGAAAGGAAAAACGACAAAAAGAAATTTAATTTTTCCCGCAAATTTTTGACCATTTTTCTAAGCCTATAGCCTTACTTTTTGACCAAATTTTTGCTCATAGAAAATGGTGATTTTTTGACAAATATATTGGTTAGAGACCATGATTTATCGTTTACCTTGACCTTAGTGTCCCACAGGCAACGAAAAACGACAGAAATAAATTTAATTTTTCCAGCAAATTTTCGACCATTTTTGTAAGCCTATAGCCTTACTTTTTGACCAAATTTTTGCCGATAGAAAATGGTATTTTTTTGACAAATCTATTAGTTAGAGACCATGATTTATCGTTTACCTTCACCTTACTGTCCTATAGGAAAGGAAAAACGACAAGAAGAAATTTAATTTTTCCCGCAAATTTTTGACCATTTTTCTAAGCCTATAGCCTTACTTTTTGACCAAATTTTTGCTCATAGAAAATGGTGTTTTTTTGACAAATATATTGGTTAGAGACCATGATTTATCGTTTACCTTGACCTTAGTGTCCCACAGGCAACGAAAAACGACAGAAAGAAATTTAAATTTTCCAGCAAATTTTCGACCATTTTTGTAAGCCTATAGCCTTACTTTTTTTGACCAAATTTTTGCCGATAGAAAATGGTGTTTTTTTGACAAATCTATTAGTTAGAGACCATGATTTATCGTTTACCTTAACCTTAGTGTCCTATAGGAAACGAAAAACGAAAGAAAGAAATTTAATTTCAGCAATAAATTTTCGACCATTTTTTTAAGCCTATAGCCTTACTTTTTGACCAAATTTTTGCTCATAGAAAATGGTGTTTTTTTGACAAATATGTTGGTTAGAGACCATGATTTATCGTTTACCTTGACCTTACTGTCCTATAGGAAAGGAAAAACGACAGAAAGAAATTTAATTTTTCCAGCAAATTTTCGACCATTTTTGTAAGCCTATAGCCTTACTTTTTGACCAAATTTTTGCTGATAGAAAATGGTGTTTTTTTGACAAATCTATTGGTTAGAGACCATTATTTATCGTTTACCTTGACCTTAGTGTCCCACAGGCAACGAAAAACGACAGAAAGAAATTTAATTTTTCCAGCAAATTTTCGACCATTTTTGTAAGCCTATAGCCTTACTTTTTGACCAAATTGTTGCCGATAGAAAATGGTGTTTTTTTGACAAATCTATTAGTTAGAGACCATGATTTATCGTTTACCTTCACCTTAGTGTCCTATAGGAAACGAAAAACGGAAGAAAGAAATTCAATTTCAGCAATAAATTTTCGACCATTTTTTTAAGCCTATAGCCTTACTTTTTGACCAAATTTTTGCTCATAGAAAATGGTGTTTTTTTGACAAATATATTGGTTAGAGACCATGATTTATCGTTTACCTTGACCTTACTGTCCTATAGGAAAGGAAAAACGACAGAAAGAAATTTAATTTTTCCAGCAAATTTTCGACCATCTTTGTAAGCCTATAGCCTTACTTTTTGACCAAATTTTTGCCGATAGAAAATGGTGTTTTTTTGACAAATATATTACTTAGAGACCATGATTTATCGTTTACCTTAACCTTAGTTTCTTATAAGCAACGAAAAACTACAGAAAACAATTTAATTTCTTCCAGTAAATTTTCGACCATTTTTGTAAGCCTATAGCCTTACTTTTTGACCAAATTTTTGCTGATAGAAAATGGTGTTTTTTTGACAAATACATAAGACAGAGACCATGATTTATCGTTTGCCTTAACCTTAGTTTCCTAAAGGCAACGAAAAACTACAGAAAAATATTTAATTTCTTCCAGTAAATTTCCGACAATTTTTGTAAGCCTATAGCCTTACTTTTTGATCAAATTTTTCCTGGTAGAAAATGGTGTTTTTTTGACAAATATGTTAGTTAGAGACGAAGTTTTCTCGTTTGCCTTTATCTTAGTGTCCTTTAGGAAACGAAAAACGAGATAAGAAACTCAATTTCTGCCGAAAATTTTCGACCATTTTTGTAAGCCTATATCCTTACTTTTTGACCAAATTGTTGCCGATAGAAAATGGTGTTTTTTTGACAAATCTATTAGTTAGAGACCATGATTTATCGTTTACCTTCACCTTACTGTCCTATAGGAAAGGAAAAACGACAAAAAGAAATTTAATTTTTCCCGCAAATTTTTGACCATTTTTCTAAGCCTATAGCCTTACTTTTTGACCAAATTTTTGCTCATAGAAAATGGTGTTTTTTTGACAAATATATTGGTTAGAGACCATGATTTATCGTTTACCTTGACCTTAGTGTCCCACAGGCAACGAAAAACGACAGAAAGAAATTTAATTTTTCCAGCAAATTTTCGACCATTTTTGTAAGCCTATAGCCTTACTTTTTGACCAAATTGTTGCCGATAGAAAATGGTGTTTTTTTGACAAATCTATTAGTTAGAGACCATGATTTATCGTTTACCTTAACCTTAGTGTCCTATAGGAAACGAAAAACGGAAGAAAGAAATTTAATTTCAGCAATAAATTTTCGACCATTTTTTTAAGCCTATAGCCTTACTTTTTGACCAAATTTTTGCTCATAGAAAATGGTGTTTTTTTGACAAATATATTGGTTAGAGACCATGATTTATCGTTTACCTTGACCTTACTGTCCTATAGGAAAGGAAAAGGACAGAAAGAAATTTAATTTTTCCAGCAAATTTTTGACCATTTTTCTAAGCCTATAGCCTTACTTTTTGACCAAATTTTTGCTGATAGAAAATGGTGTTTTTTTGACAAATCTATTGGTTAGAGACCATTATTTATCGTTTACCTTGACCTTAGTGTCCCACAGGCAACGAAAAACGACAGAAAGAAATTTAATTTTTCCAGCAAATTTTCGACCATTTTTGTAAGAAGCCTATAGCCTTACTTTTTGACCAAATTTTTTCCGATAAAAATGGTGTTTTTTTGACAAATCTATTAATTAGAGACCATGATTTATCGTTTACCTTAACCTTAGTGTCCTATAGGAAACGAAAAAACGGAAGAAAGAAATTTAATTTCAGCAATAAATTTTTCGACCATTTTTTTAAGCCTATAGCCTTACTTTTTGACCAAATTTTTGCTCATAGAAAATGGTGTTTTTTTGACAAATATATTGGTTAGAGACCATGATTTATCGTTTACCTTGACCTTACTGTCCTATAGGAAAGGAAAAGGACAGAAAGAAATTTAATTTTTCCAGCAAATTTTTGACCATTTTTCTAAGCCTATAGCCTTACTTTTTGACGCAAATTTTTGCTGATAGAAAATGGTGTTTTTTTGACAAATCTATTGGTTAGAGACCATTATTTATCGTTACCTTGACTTTAGTGTCCCACAGGCAACAAACGGAAAAACGACAGAAAAGAAATTTAATTTTTCCAGCAAATTTTCGACCATTTTTGTAAGCCTATAGCCTTACTTTTGACCAAATTGTTGCCGATAGAAATGGTGTTTTTTTGAACAATCTATTAGTTAGAGACCATGATTTATCGTTTACCTTCACCTTAGTGTCCCACAGGCAACGAAAAACGACAGAAAAAATTAATTTCAGCAATAAATTTTTCGACCATTTTTTTAAGCCTATAGCCTTACTTTTTGACACAAATTTTTGCTCATAGAAAATGGTGTTTTTTGACAAATATATTGGTTAGAGACCATGATTATCGTTTACCTTGACTTAGTGTCACCACAAGGCAACGAAAAACGACAGAAAGAAATTTAAATTTCCAGCAAATTTTCGACCATTTTTGTAAGCCTATAGCCTTACTTTTTTGACCAAATTTTTGCCGAAAGAAAATGGTGTTTTTTTGACAAATCTAATTAGTTAGAGACCATGATTTATCGTTTACCTTAACCTTAGTGTCCTATAGAAACGAAAAACGAAAGAAGAAATTTAATTTCAGCAATAAATTTTCGACCATTTTTTTAAGCCTATAGCCTTACTTTTTGACCAAATTTTTGCTCATAGAAAAT